TGCTTTATTCTTAGCCCAACAACATTTTAATGTATATTCATCTGTTATCAAACCTTCAATTCTTATTTATAGGGTTCAGCAATACTGGTACCCAGACCCAAAAGAAGGACCATTAATGGCATCTTTTATGCACAGATATGTATTGAGGATTCAAAGTTAAGCAATTCTAGACGTCCTTCCAAATACCGAAATTCCTAGGACAGGAGTGTTTCTGTTACACAACAACGCTGCTGCACAACCGCAGAGAGATGTCAAGGAGTAGTCGAAAAAGGAAACGGTTACAGAGCTTACCCCCCCCCCCCCCGCATTAGCTAGATCTCTGTCTTTGTGACTGAATGCTTGTAGGAAGACGCTACAATTCATGATTGCCCTGGGGACTGAGTACCATCTATCTGTCGTTTGAGCATCAATGCTGTGGGTAAGGAAACTTTATATGATGTATATGTGTAAATTAGGTTAACGCAGAACAATTTGAAGCATTAACAAAAATGTAACTTTTCTTGTATTTTTCTTTTACTTTTATAACACTTTTGTATTTTTATTACATGAGCCCCCCCCCCCCCCCCCCCCGTATACCAAAATTGCACAAAGCAGTAATCAATTGTAACACTGCACTTACCCAATCACATATTATTGAAAATGCAAGAATTGTTTGATCTGTCATAAAATAATAAGATTAAAATGAGTTTCAAATACAAAAAATGAATTAGAAACTGAAGTCAAGTGAAGTTAGATCTATTACCGTGTGTATTCATGGTTACCGAATCTCTTTCACAACTGTGAACAGCTGCTACGTGATACTATAGCTATACTACATTATGGTCATGCAATACAATAGAAGTCGAGCTAGTACACTCTCGAAAAGTATCAAGTTTGTTAAATTGTAAGTTGAATAAATGTTTTCATTTTCTTTAATGTGTTGAACATTGCTCTAAATGACACGAAGTCGTTTTTTGTTTGTTTGTTTTCTTAAAGTCTAGTTTTCGTTTATTTTCCGAATTACCGGTATTACTAATTAATGTTGCATTTTGTGCATCAGCGACAAGTTTTGATTGTTATGTTAAATTATTAGCAACAACTAACACAACTCCACGTACTTAAAAAACAAAAATACTTTATTTTATATTTCTTTGTTTATTTGATATTAACGGCTGCGATATTGCCAAAAAAAAAAAAATACATAGCAGGTAATGTAAAAAAAATTCTGCAGGTTGCAATCGTTAATCCCCGTATTAATAAGAAAAAAAATATAGTACATACAAAGATCCATACTTTACACTGATAAAAGAGCCTACTTCTTTAGAAATCTTTCATACAACCGGATCTAAGTTCATCTGTCTATCTATCTTACTTACTTAACAAGACTTACCTAACAACATGCAACAGAATGTCAGTCTGTACCAAATGTTCAATACACACTCTTCAGTTCTTATTCCATTTAAACGTACAACAGCTTCCAGTCACAAAATCTACATTGAATTTCAAAAGTTTTGTCATACGCGTAAATATTTAAAGAGATGCAACTGATTTTATTTTTTAATATGTTGTAATTGTATCTAAAAATCAATTGCAGCAAGTCAGCACAGAATACGTCATTAAACGTCCACTGACAAGACACGGTGTCTTCTAGATTGCGGCGATGTGAACCTTAAATGCGATTTATTTATTAGCTCAAGTGAGCTTTTCTGATCCGTCTTTCTGTCCGTCTGTAAACTTTTCGCATTTTCGACAAGTTCTTCTCCAGAATTACCATGCTTTTTCAAATGAAGCCCTCTTTCAAGGGGAGATAATTAAGAATTAGTGAAAATTTGGTGCCACCCTTTAAAAATTTTCTTTCATTAGGCTATAAAAATAAAACCTATGTGAAACCTTCAATACATAGTATAGACTCATATTTGCACTGTGTAAATTCATATTTGTTCAAATCATGACCCCCGGAGGTAGGCTGTGGTCACAATGGGGGGGGGGGGTGTTAAAATTTTACATAAGAATATATTGAAAAATCTTTTTCTCAAGAACAACAAAGTAATGATTAGTCGCAATGATACGGAAGCATCCTCAGGAAGTGTACATTCAGGTTTGTTCAAATCATATCCTCGGGGGTAGGGTGGGGCCACAATGGGGGATCAAAATTTAACATTAAAAAATATGGGGGAAATCTTTAAAAATCTTCTCATTAACAAAGCCATGACAAGTCATATTGATGTGGAAGCATCCTAAGGTAGTGTAGATTCGTATATTTTATTTCAAATCATGACCCCAAGGGATATGTTGGAACCAAAATGGGAGATCTAAGTTTAACATAGGAATAAATAGGAAAAAATCTTTTTCTCAAGAATGACAAAGCCATCAATACTAGTCATACTGATACAGAAGCATCATCTGGATTCAAATTTTTTTTTCAAATTTTCAAATCATAGCCCCTTAAGGTAGGGTGTCACACATCTTCTAAAGTCTTCTTCTCAAAAACAGCAAAGCTGTGTTTAGTCATATGTATATGGAAGCATCCTCAGATAGCTTAGATTCAAGTTTGTTCAAAACATGACACCTGGAGGTAGGATGGGGCTAGAACAGGTGATCAAAGCTTTACATGTGAATATAAAGTAGAAAAAATTCGCTGATGATGAACAACTAGGTCATATTGACTCAGATAAGTGTTTTGGCCTATGGGCCTCTTGTTTTTAATCTTGTTGTTAGGAAGTAAACATGCCTGTGAAACGCATTTAATAACAAGAGGCCCATGGGCCACAACGTTCACTTGAGTAACTTAAGCCTTGCCGTTCCTCATCAGATTTTTAAGATTTTAACATTCTCTTGAAAATTTGACCCTATATAATGGCTCCACCCTTAATCTAAGGTGTCTCTGAATCCACATATCATGGGGATGCTTCAATATCAATATGACTAACATGGCCTTGCAGTTATGGAGAAGAAAATTCTATTAGAGTATACATGCATTATGTAAATGTTGATCCTGATTTTAGCCAAGGGTCTACAATTTAAAAAAAAATAAATTCACACAACATGGGAATGTCTGTAAATTTATGTCTATTGTGTTTCTTTAGATTTCTTTTATTTACAGTTCCATGCAAAACTTTGATTCTCTAGTGTGGCCCCATCCTAATCACAGGGCCATGAATTGAAAATGTTAGAATCTTCACTACCTCAGAAAGCCTTCACATAAGTTTCATCTTTTCTGGTCCATTGGTTCTTGAGTAGAAAATTCTAAAGACTTTCTTATATATTTTCAATATAAAACTTTCATCCCCTATTGTGGCCCAACCCTTACCCCTGGGGTTATGATTTGAAAAAATTTGAATCTACAATTCCTCAGGAAGCTTCAACATAAATTTCACTTTTATCTGGCCCAATGATTCTTAAGAAGAAGACTTTTCTTATATATCTCAATGTAAACCATTCATCTCCTATTCAGCTATTGTGGCCCCATCTTAACCCTGGTGGTCATGATTTGAATAATTTAAAATCTATTCTTCTTCCGAATGCTTCCACTAGGTTTCACTTTTTTCTGGCCCTTTGGTTCTTGAGAAGAAGGTTTTTAAAGATTTTTATTACATATTTTAATGTAAAACTTTCAACCCCTATTGTGACCCCACCTTAACCCCAGGGGTCATGAATTAAACAATTTAGAATCTACACTACCTAAGGAATATTCCACATAAGTTTCACCTTTTTCTGGCACAATGGTTCTTGAGATTTTTTAACCTACCCTATTTTTGCCTTCAATTGATTATCTCCCCTTGGAAGAGGACATGGCCTTTCGTTTGAACAATTTCGAATCTACTTTACCCAAGAATGCTTTGTGCATCTGAATCGATCCATGATTAAAATAAAATAGATAAATAAAATAGCTATTAATATCAACAAAAAAAATTTTGTCAAAAAATAATTCATTGCAATAAAAAATGTCTTTCATTTTTTTTTTTAAATATAAAAAAATCACCTTTTTATATTAACTTCTCTATACACTCTGTACATTGCTTTTAAAAATATAAACGTTCTGATGTAGCGTGTAAGGGTGAATTAATGTCCAAGATAATAAAATTAATCAATTAAGGAGGCACTTAGAAACTGGGCATTAAAATTAGCATATTCACTCAGTCAACAATGGGATGAAATCAACAATTTTCTACAAAACGAATTTCAAAATGTTTCATGCAACTGTTGGTACAGAAGTTCTTCAGATATTTGTAAAGCATTGTAGTATTGCTGATTTCTCATGTGTTTTTTAAAACTTTGAATGGATGACAAACACCTACATAAATATAAGCCCATTTAGAGAATATGATGGCTATTGGAAATGTTGTGCAGATTTAAAAGAAATCCTTGAAATTTAGTTTTATTCATTGTATAATATTTGAAAATAACATTCATCAAGCACTAAAAAGTTCAACAATAATTGTATTACAATAGATATATGTAAATCATATCAAGCATATTCAGCAAATGTTTCATTAAAGAGACTTGACATACAAGTTAAATGTGGATAAAATCACAAATTTATACAATGTCATGTATAAGATATCAATAACAATACCTTTACACCATTCTCGTGTAAAACATTCTTGAAGAAAAGCATAAATGAAAAAAGAATAACAGTTACATCAAAGACAGAAATAGATACTGTGGTGTATATCAGGCAAAGAAAACACTTGCATGAAAAAATAGAATAAAAATTTCAAGATATATGGAAAGGAATTCATGATTAAATCTATTGTGACCCTGCCCTGATTTCTGGATGCTACAGGTAATTAATTCTGACATTAATGTCTCATTTAAGGACACAGTACACCACATACATGTCCACAAACTCTACAATGTACCTTTCCCACTAATCATTTTCTAATACATTCTCAATTTAAAATCATAGTACCAAAAGATGTTGTTATACAAAAAATCAGCATACATTACCAGGAGTTTTGACCAGATTTAAAATGATGAAAATCCTTGTATTTTTTAAAGAAATAATAACATAAATATAGTTTTAGCTGGTATTTCCTATAAAGTTTATTTACAGGAGGTGTACAGTATTGCCAGGCATCATAAAATCACAAAAAGGTCCTTCAATAGTTGGAATTTTTAAATTACACAGGGAAAAAGAAATTCAAGTTCAAAACTATGTTGCGTATGTCCTTAAGTCATTTGTTTATTTAAATTTCCTGAAATATGAAGTCACAACCGGTTCAGTAATTATCTTAATAAGTAAAATCTACAGTATTTTCCAAAAGGTGGACATTAAAATCATGCTGTCAAAGAACAATTACTCAGAAATGATGAACACTACAAAAACACATACTGGTAATTAAAAGTTTATGATTACTGTGCAAGACTCTGAACAACCTTGAGTCAACAACTTACCAACCACATCTAAATCAAAAAGGAGGAAATCTAAGAAGCTTTTACATAAACCAGTATATTATGTATTGCAGATAATGTACTGATTGAATGCTGATCAATGTTAAATAATTAATGCTTTAATCATGTTTCATCATTAGTTAAAGCATATTCACTTTCACAAATGTAGATCTAAATAATCATTAATGATGGTTTTTCATGAATTTTAGCTAGAAGAACTGGTTACTGGGTCCGGCCTGGTCCTGCTGGTGTTGAGTGTGGATATAGGGCCACATGTACATGTAAGAGGACCCAGGTGGAGCCTGCGAAGTTGTGTTTGGAACAGTCAGCAAGGGATTAGAGGGGTGGATTGAAGAATTTGCAATACTCCCCAGCTCTGACTCCTGTGTGGTGAGGAGAATGCCATGGCCTCCTGAGGGAATAGGAAGGGGATCTGTGGCATTAGGAATAAAGGGCGGGGCATCAGGCCTGTCTGGGTAGATCCTGGGGATTGTCATGGTGTGGGGTGGGGATGAGTTGGGTGATATGTTGAGATATTCCTGGCCCTGCTGGTCCTTTTGTTCTAGATCCTCTGGAGTTTCCATCACTGTTAAAGGTTTGCCTTGTTTAGATGTCTGATGGAGCTTTCTCCCGGAGATGTTCCCATCCACCTGTTTATTATGGATCTTCATATGAACACGGAGGTTGTCTGCCCTTGAGCAAGATTTCCCACAAATGTCACAGACAAACATTTTAACCTCACAGTGAACAGTCTTGGTATGCTTTGACAAGCCCCCCTTGTCTGGGAAGCATCGGCCACATTCTTTGCACTCAAATGGTTTAAGTCCTGAATGTCGCTTCTGATGAGCCTTGCAGCGCTCTTTGGTTTTGAATGACTTTCCACACTCAGGACAATTATATGGACTTTCTGACTTATGTACATACTGATGCGAGTACAGAGTAGCATAAGTTTTAAAGGATTTCCCACAGGTGCTGCACTGGAATGATTTCGCGTCACTGTGGACAGCTGCGTGGATTTCCAGTGTACTTTTATACATAAACTGTCTCCCACAAATGTCGCACATGAAGCGTGACCCATCTGCAGTATGACGTCTACGATGTGTCTTCATCAAAAACTCTGTCTTGTATTTCTTGCCACACAAGTCACATTCAAACCAAGTATTCTGTGAGTGTTTGGACTCCTTGTGGTATTTCAGTGAGTGACTGTTAACGAAACCCTGCCCACATGTGTTACACCGATAGGGTCTGTATTCTCCGTGAGTCATCTCATGTACCTTCAGACTTGTTGTGTACGAAAAGCACTTCCCACAAATTTTACATGTATGATTTTTCTTCCCACCATGCACCCCCTCCACATGCATTTTAAGATGATTTGATGTAAGATAAGTTTTATTGCACTCTTTACATTCAAATGGTCGAGCTCCACTGTGTTTCAGGATGTGCAGTCTAAGGCTATGATTAAAACTAAAAGAAGCATCACACTGCTGACATTTGTATGGTTTGCTGTCACTGTGAATGCCTCGGCGATGATGATACATAGTTTCCTTACTGGAGAAAACTTTATCACAAATGTCACAATTATATTTCATCACATCATGAGCAGTTTTGATGTGCCGGTTTAGGGCTCTCTTTGATGCATACTCCTTCGGACATTCCGCACACTTCTGTGTGCCTTTATCATCTACAGCAGCAGCGGAGGTTTTCAGAGTAAGTTTCAATCCTCCCTTTTTCCTCCCTGGCTTCCTCCCCTTTTGTTTTTTGGCCGTTTTTGGCCTTGCTTTTGGTTTGACCAATGGGGTATCTGCAATCTCATCACCAGCTACCGAGACCTCCTTCTCCTTTAATGGAACAGACATCTCTTTGTTAAGATTTTTGGGTTTGCGGCCACGTTTTTTCTTTGGTGGACTCTCAGACTGGGCCTCCTCTCCCTCAGGCCCACCATGTATCATCATCATGTGTTGGTGAAGTGCCGTGTTAGATTGACACAGTTCCTGACACGTCGACACCTGACACCTGTAAATATTGCCAATGTCATGTGTCACTTTGAGGTGATTTTCTACAGCTTTCTGACTGCGGAACTGTGTCGGACACAGTGGACACGTGACATTGTTTATGGTGTTGGTTTGTAGGTCACTGGGAGGCAGTGGTGATACTATAGTCACTGACCCAGCTGTCTCAGTGTGATCGTCATCAGAGATAACCTCGGTTTTAATGTCCATGACCTCTGGCTCTTGGTTCATCTGTGAAGTTGATTCCTTTGGAGAATCTGTTAAAAGTAATAGCAAACTGATGACACAATCCTTACTAATATACCTGCATGCGTGTACGGACAATCTCATTAAAAATCAGTAACATGCGTGTACGGACAATCTCATTAAAAATCAGTAACATGCGTGTACAGACAATCTCATTAAAAATCAGTAACATGAAGGAATCTGCTAGACTCATGAATTCCACTGCTAGAATTATATTCTTCAAATCTTACAATAATAAACATAACAGTGTTATGATAACACATACTTTAATTTGTTTAATTTCTTACACAGATCAACTGTCAATAACTCCTTCCTGTCCAATTTCTTTAAAACCTTAAACTTGAACTCATGTAATTTAGAGCACAGCTATACTGTAGATTCCTAAATATACGCGAGGAATTAAATATCCGCGAGAAGCACCACTCGCGAAATAAAATTACTGGCTTTTATTTTTATGGTCATGAAATTAATGTAAAATCTCTTGATCAACCGTCCACTCGCGAATTATTGTTCTCGCGATTTGACGTCAAAGAGTCATTTCGCGAAAATAAGTACTCGCGAAAAATAAGGAATCTACAGTAACTCTGAATGAAGCGTCTTTCTAAATTATAAATAAACATGAATCAGGTGTCTACAATTCATACCTGTTACTGACTTGGTTTTCTTTTGTTGGTTGGCTGATTTTCGAGGTTTTCGCTTGAGCTGAACTGACGTGAAGTTTTCTGTCTGAGTCTCTGTGTCTGTTACCATCACTCCATGTCTGTCCTGTCTCTCAACTGTAAAAAAGCATAGCAACTGTACAGAGGAACATACCAACTGTACAGAAGAACATAGCAACTGTATAAGAAAATAGCAACTGTACAAGAACATAGCAACTGTAAAAGAACATAGCAACAACATAGCAACTGTACAAGAACATAGCAAGTGTACAAGAACATGGTGACTGTACAAGGACCTAGCAACTATTTAAGAACATAGCAACTGTATGAGAACATACAAACTGTACAAGAACATAGCAACTGTACAAGGACCTAGCAACTATTTAAGAACATAGCAACTGTATGAGAACATACAAACTGTACAAGAACATAGCAACTGTACACAACAAAATAGCAAGGCCCAACTGTACAAGAACGTAGCAATTGTATAGGAATAATGCAACTGTACAAGAACACAGCAATTGTACAAAACAAAATAGCAACTGTAAAAGAACATATCAACTTTATGAGAACATAGCAACTGTATAAGGAGAGAGCAACTGTTCAGGAAGATAGCAATTGTACAAGAAAAAAAAGCAACTGTATAAGAAAATAGAAACTATACAAGAACATAGCAGCTGTATAAGAACATAGCAACTGTACAGGAAGATAGCAATTGTACAAGAAAATAAAAAAGCAACTGTATAAGAACCTAGCAACTGTTCAAGAACATAGCAGCTGTATAAGAGCATAGCAGCTGTACACTACAGTATACTGTTAAAATATATAATTGAGGGAGTTAGCAAGATTCCAGTTCCCCAAGGCTAGGACTATTTTACAGATGTCAGGCGAAGCCCAGGGAAATAGTCTTGGTAGAGGGGAACTGGAATCTTGCTAACTCCTGCAATGATATACTTTTAACTGTTTTATTATACCGATACAAACGTAAAATTTAGAGGATTCAGATAGTGTGATTTCAAAGCAGGGATTAGCTCACTGAACTAACACATGGGGATTAGTTCATTCACATATCTTACCAATGTAAAAGTAAAATCTAGACGATTACGGATAACCGGGAATTAGTTTTCGAAACAGGGATTAGCTCACTTGACTAATGCACGAGGATTAGTCCATTCATAATGATTTCTAGGGATTTAGTCACATCTAAAGATCTACTGTTATAAGGCAAAAAATCAGTAGAGGTATAATAAACCAAAATAGCAACTGCACAGAACAAAATAGCAACTTTTAAAGAACATAACTGTTGTACAGAATAAAATGGTGACATAGCATTACAGAAACATAGGTAATCAGAGATTACAGAGCTCACCTCAACGAATGTTGTCTTTAAGTAAGGCAAAGTCCCACACTAAACTAATAATCTAGGAGTGTGCATCCTTAGATGCAACATTTATGCAATTTTGGTCTGATAGGGCTTGCACTTACTTGGGAATAGACTTACCTGAAAACTTAAAACTAGTCACTCATCCAGAAAATGTAAGTCAAATCCAGCATCCGAAGCAAGTTTTGAGATTGTTCGTCCCTTGATGCATCATCATTGCAAGTTTGGTTCAGATAGGCCTTATAGTTACTTGGAAATGAGATCTGCTCCAAAAATTTTAATCTGGTTACTCATCCAGAAAATGTAGGTCAGATCCAGCATCCGAAGCAAGTCCAGTAGTGTGAATCCTTAGATGTATCATCCATGCAAGTTTGGTCAATATAGGGTTTATAGTTACTTGGAAATGGCATCTGCTCCAAAAACATTAACCTGGTCACTCATCCAGAAAATATAGGTCAGATCCAGCATCTGAAGCAAGTTCAGTAGTGTGCATCCCTAGATGTATCATCCTTGCAAGTTTAGTCAATATGGGGCTTATAGTTACTTGGAAATGAAATCTGCTCCAAAAACTTTAACCTGGTCACTCATCCGGAAAATATAGGTCAGATTCAGCATCCACAGCAAGTCCAGTAGTGTGAATCCTAAGATGTATCATCCATGCAAGTTTGGTCAATATAGGGTTTATAGTTACTTGGAAATGAGATCTACTCCAAAAACCTTAACCTAGTCACTTATCCGGAAAATGTAGGTCAGGTCCAGCATCTGAAGCAAGTCCAGTAGTGTGAATCCTTAGATGTATCATCCTTGCAAGTTTAGTCAATATAGGGCTTATAGTTACTTGGAAATGAGATCTGCTCCAAAAACTTTAACCTGGTTACTCATCCAGAAAATATAGGTCAGATCCAGCATCTGAAGCAAGTCCAGTAGTGTACATCCTTAGATGTATCATCCATGCACGTTTGGTCAATATAGGGTTTATAGATACTTGGAAATGACATCTGCTCCTAAAACTTTAACCTGGTCACTCATCCGGAAAATATAGGGCAGATTCAGCATCCGAAGCAAGTCCAGTAGTGTGCATCCTTAAATGTATCATCCATGCAAGTTTGGTCAATATAGGGCTTTTAGTTACTTAGAAATGAGATCTGCTCCTAAAACTTTAACCTGGTCGCTCATCCGGAAAATATAGGTCAGATCTAGCATCTGAAGCAAGTCCAGTAGTGTGCATCCTTAGATGTATCATCCATGCAAGTTTGGTCAATATAGGGCTTATAGTTACTTGGAAATGAGATCTACTCCAAAAACTTTAACCTAGTCACTCATCCGGAAAATGTAGGTCAGATCCAGCATCTGAAGCAAGTTCAGTGGTGTGAATCCTTAGATGTATCATCCATGCAAGTTTGGTCAATATAGGGCTTATAGTTACTTGGAAATGAGATCTACTCCAAAAACCTTAACCTAGTCACTCATAGTTACTTGGAAATGAGACCTGCTCCAAAAACTTTAACCTGCTCCAAAAACTTTAACCTGCTCCAAAAAACTTTAACCTGCTCCAAAAACTTTAACCTGCTCCAAAAACATTAACCTGGTCATTCTTTAGCTGAAATTGCAGCATCTGAAACCTTGACTGGTACAATGAAACACACTAGAAGCATCCTCCATGCATCTCTGACTAATATAGGCCATAGAAGTACTTGAAAAGAAAACTGCTCCAAAAACCTTAACCTTGGACGCCGACGCTGAGGGTATTACATAAGCTCCCCCAACTTCGTTGAGGTGAGCTAAAAACTGTTTTACTGTCTTCTCTTATACTTCACTAATTGATACGTCAACTATTCAGAGTATATAACATGAGCGTGCAAGCATCTTCAAATGTTTCTTCAAAATGAATTAAATGATCATGCTAGCCTATAGTTTTGACTGCACATATGTTCCCTGAAAAGAAAAGATTTGGATGTTGAGCAATCTGCATTAATGCTAATATACCTTCATTACTTTGGGATTCTGTTAAGACTGATTCTAGAATTTCATCAGCAGTGTTCTCCATTTCCATTCCCTCCCTCGGAGTACTCTCCCCTTGGTCTGATGGAACAGTGCCCTGCCTCTGAGTACTCTCCCCTTGGTCTGATGGAACAGTGCTTTCCCTATGAGTACTCTCCCCTTGGTCTGATGGAGCAGTTCTCTGCCTCAGAGTACTCTCTCCTTGGTCTGATGGAATGATGCCATTTGAGAGTGATAATTGGTCCTCTGTGGTCGGAAGTTGCTTTTCTTCAATATTAACTGCTTCATTTTTCTCTCCAAACAGTAAACTGAACTGCCTCTGATAGATGTGACTGTTCTCCTTAAGCATTCTTTCTGATATGACAAAACAGGCTGTGTCAGTCTTGTCTACTGTGATGTCAATGTCTGCCATAAACTGAATATCCTCCACAAATGTCACCTTGTCGAGGAGGGCCTTACTGATGGCACACTGGATCACCTGTTGTAGGTAACTCTCCATCATGTGAACAAGCACCTGAAAAACATTCAAATGCATTGAACCATAAATCTCTGGTGAGGCTGTGGCTCTACTGATTTGTATTTATGATAAAGAAAAAAGTTGCAATCTTGAATCTGCACTACCTGAGGATGCTTCCATATTATATATATATATATATATATATATATATATATATATATATATATATATATATATATATATATATATATTTATATATATATATATATCCCATGTTTACCCCTTTATCCTGTGGATATCACTCATTTGATATTTTGTTCATATCCCACTGCTGTGATGTCAATGGGTTTTGTGTGAGAGTGATGAAGTAAAATGAAGTGGATTCCTATTTAAAAACAGTGTAAAATATTGATAGTGATGTATAAAACATGGGATAAAAAGAATCTCACTTGACTTGTAGTTGGATATGACTTTTATCCAAATCGTTGTGTGTTTTTATCCCCTCGCCAAGGCTCGAGGATAAAAAACATGCAACTCATTGAATAAAAATCATATCCAACTACAAATCATGGCAAATCCTATATTTATATATATATTACGACTAATCATGGATCTGCTGTTCTTGAGAAAATGATTTTTAAAAATTTATTCCAATATATCTCCATGCAAACTTTGATCCTCTTCTATTGCCCCATTCTACCCAGGGCTCGACATTAACACTCGTCCATTACCAGTGACAATATTTCACAGTGATAATGCTGTGTGATTATTGGTGGGCACTTGTCTGATTGGACGAGTCATTTTTCTGTCAAGAATTTTTTTAAAGCTTAAAATGGAAAATTTAAATCTGTTGTCGACTTTTCATCTGAAGTTCAAAATCAAAAGTATGTAGTGTGTAAATAATTTATTTCGACCCCGATTATAATAATGATGATCCAAGTAGGACTAGGTATTGGCTGAGAATATTGTATTGCAATATACTGCGATACTTTTAACTGAATTGCGATATGTATTGCAATATCTTCAACAACAGTTAAAATGATCTTATTTTATTATCTCCATTTATGAGCAGAATGTATATAACTATTATAAATTTTTCTCCAACAAATATTTTGGCTGGTACAATCATGATTTCAGCCACGTAAAAGTACCCGATACGGGCAGATTTTGAATGGCCTGCAATTGATATATTTTTACAATAATTTAATAGGGTAATTGTTTTCATGTAAATTATTTATTGGAGATGAAAAACATTTTGTTCTATACTGTTCAAAGTATGACCAATATAGATGCAAGTATACTGATAAATTTAATATAAACACATATACTAGTGATAATCCCATTAGAAAAATTGTCAATCCTACAAATATTACAACTGCTAGAAGGATATGTCGTTTTTTTAAAAAAGTGCTTTGAAACCAGAAAAGAAAGTCAGCAATGAATACTTAGAAATATGTCAATATACTCTACATTATTTTGTTTACCTCACATTTGTCACTTTGTATATGTATGTATTAATCGTGTTAATTTGTTTTATGTTATTATTGTTCGTGACTGTATGCCGACATGGTAATTGTCAATAAAGTGAATTGAATTAAATTGAGCCAAAACAATTATACATCTTGGTGTTCCCACAGGATTGAAAATATTTAGATCCTACTGTTATTCTACTGCATAGTGACAAGGTATAAAATATTGAATGTTGTAGATATCCAATGGATTTCATAAAGAAAATGACACTGACTGTAAATATAACAAATTACTGATATATAATAGTGAAGTAATTCACAGGTCCCCAGTTTTACTGTTTAGTTTTCCTATTCCAGAATTGACCTAATGAAATATTCATTATTCTTGATTTTTGTTGGAAAGAATTTCTGAGTTGGATCTATACTCAAACAATTGTTTCTGCAAATCATCAAGTCCTAAGGATCAAGATTAGAGGTCAAGGTCAGTAAGGTATGTCATTGAGGATATGCAACATGTGTCACAAATATGCATATATAACATATATTATAAATGTGTAATGGTTTGGGCCATGGGTATCGGCCTGGGTAGCTCAGTCAGCAGAAAACACCTGACTAGTGATGCAGGGTTAATAGATTCCTGTTCCAGCCATACATTTTCTCCTTTCCTGTTACATAATTTGGTGCCATTGACCACCCATAGACTTGAAGATGAAAGTCCTGCCAGAGGCAAATAAGAACTTGGGTTGTGTCTTCTAGGGCGAAGTCAATTTAAGGAGGGAGAAAAGTAAAGGTTTGGACTGTGGATATCGGCCTGGGTAGCTCGCGAGGGATCAGTTGATACAGCAGCTGACTAGTGATGCAGGGGTTGACCTGGGTTCGATTCCCGGTCCAGCCATACATTTTCTCCTTTCCTGTTACACACATTTAAAAGTTCATCTGTCTTAATATTTCATATGAAACATGACATCTACTATCTTTTTGACAAGTCATAGGTACATGTACTTGGTCTTGAGTTTATAAATATGTAATATGATACTTAGAAATATCTATAAACCAATTGCAAGACCCAAGTACCTGTCTGACGGACGAGAACTTTGCATCACAATACACAGTTATTCAAAGAAAATGAAAATATTGAGTATATATATGTGCATGTATAAAAAAAAAAAAACATGCACATACTCAATATTTAAATTAACTTTCAGTGCCAGTGTCGTGACATAACCCCTGCAAGCCTGTATTATTTTGCATATCGGACGTTCGTCTACTTGTAAAAACAGAGATTTAATTTTTTAACAATTGTTAAACCTTAATCTCATTTATGGATTGAAATATTCTATTTCTCTTTTTGTAACAGTGTTCAAGGCCAAACCGTTTTTGTAGTCGTTTCTGGGTCAGGAGGAGATGGAACAAAGGGGGTTAAATTCTTCCTGCATGCTGTCCTTTTTCATACTGCTTTAAACAATTCACTTACATGAATAAAAAATCTATAATTGTAGCAACATAAAACAGTTCGAAAAGTGATTCTTCAATAAATAAATAAATATGATAAACCAACCAATATTTTAAGCGCCTGTCGTCATACCCGGAAGTAAACATAAGAAGATAAAATCTGAACCAAAGCATAAAAATGAGCCTTGGAAGGTCCGTCAAGCTAACCTGAATATTAAACGTGTGAAGAACACGATTTCAACTTTCTGGGAACCATTCTTGTGTACCAGTGTATATGTTATTCATATTCAACATAGCTGTGACTAAAAAAAACTGTTGAAGGATTAATGTTTTGATTGTGTTCTGGTGAACACTGAAAGTGGCACAACTAAAAATAGACATTCAGATGTAGACAATTTTTGAAAATCATTATAATTAATTTTTTTTATTGTTGCAGATCTACACTTTTAATCTCAAATTTTACAGACTGAATTTATATATTCCACAGAAGAAATAAATATATATCAAGATGCTTTAGAATGGTAATTACCAAAGAAAACAGGCCAAAAAAAAAAGGCTGTGAGCCAATCCTCACCAGTAGTAACCCCATTCTGATGTGAATATACACTCTCATGTGGATATATACAAGTTCAGTTATGGACAGACGCATGGATAAACAGGAAGTTGACATTAGATTCATACAAAAAAGAAACCACGGTACGGTATGCCAAAACTAAGAGTGTGCTAAAAGGTCAAACATCTGCAGTGAGTAGTTGCTGAGATAACTGCAATGGAAATTTGGTATGGACAAATGCATGGATAAACAGGAAGTTCACATCAGATTAGTACAAAAATGAATCCCACCATATGGCTACTAAACAAAGAGTGAGCTAAAATTTCAAGCATCTGCGCTGAGTAGTTGCTGAGAAAACTGCGAACAAAATTTGTTATGGACAGACAAACAGATGGATGTATACACAGACAAACACACAAGGATAAAACAGTATACCTCCCTCTCCTTCAGAGCAGGGGTATAAAGATGAACTAAAACCAGAATCTAAAGGGACACAATTTTATTTAAGAATGCAAAATTTACATAAACAACAGTTTATCAATTCTAAAGTCAAAATCTGTAGTCAAAAAAATCAGTTATACCAAAATATGACATTAACTACCAATGTCAACTGATATACAAATTAAAATACATTCAAGACAGAGAAGACTGAATAATAAAACAACGAAGAAAATAGCACTAAGACTCAACAAACACAAAGTGAGTGAGCATAACACAATATATGACTGGTAATTAAGTATATATATTCCATAGTAAACAGGGAAAAAACATTAGATATAAAACTGTTAATGGACCTGCCACTTACAAGATAGAGAAAAAATTCAAAGCTGTATACAGGGGTCAAAATTTGGTTGTGTTTCATTAATTCAAATATACAGTACATGTACATGTATGTACATTTATATATTACTTAATTAAATTATACCACAGCACTTCAAAATTACAAGAAGCTGATTTACAATAGATAAAAAATTTTGAAAGTGGAAAGGTACAAAAAGGAAAAATTATTATTATTATAAATGTTACAATATTCATGTATATATATATGGTAAAGAAACCTTTCACAACATACCAAGAAAACTTCTAAAAATTGAACAAAATCCCAAAGTCAGCAACCTGTTCAACGTTCAGTAATTATACTGGACAAAGAGCAGTGCTTCCTGCTGGAGATTTCTCTTGTGCACATAAAATGCATACAACAAGTCCATGTCGAGAAGACATGCCATGAACCACAAACAATTTTGATGATGTCAACATCATACACAATCAAGGTCCTCAAGACTCATGACAAATGTCACAAAATTCTTTACTAAAAATAATCCACAATATTTATAACCTCAGACATCAAACAACTGACATTTGAATCATCTGGTTATGTGACACCCCCCCCCCCCCTTACTGAGAAGGTATGACAAACGTGTAATCTTATATTTCAGTACCTGTATCAAGTAGGGACTAAATGTGCTTCTTAAAACAATTAACACAAACTTTGTACATATTTTTGAACAATTAGCACAGAATATTTCATAAGATTTTCAAAATTACAATGCAGATTCGACACAGATACTTTAACCCATTCAAAGCTTGCTTAATGTCAAGGTTTGACTGTACGTCTATATAAAAAGTGTGAAAATCATTTTTAAAAATCTGCAGTTTATTATAGTACTCACTAGGCTGTTAAATCATGACTTACAAAAAGTTAAAATAATTAACCCCTGAATTAATTTCTCTGTCTGTCGTCACAGGCTGACTACAATGACCATGTTATCTAACTATGATTCCTGCTTTATAAGCCCCATCCTATACCCCCCCCCCCCCCCCCCCCCCCACCTGTAGGCTCTCTCCCTGAATCCTTCTACTGGTCAGGTATCAGGAACCAGCCTCTACACCTATAACTCCTCATTTTGAAGAATGTTTTACCAACAGTCCAGCTGTTTTTAAACATTTTCCAAACTTTTTCTTTCTCAAATCTAACCATGTTCAAATGTATACATTAAATTAGCCTACTAAATACTGCATAGTGGGTACATTTTAACCTTAGTTTGTGTGGGGTCATTTAAAGCAGGTCAAAAATGGTTATGATTTCTGGGTGCTATGGGTAACGAATGTAAAATGTTTGTTTCAGTGAATAGGATGCAATGCCATATGAGGCAAAATTTTTCCAAAATATTCATTACAAAAATATGAACAAATTAAATCAAATTTAAAGATAGTGTATAATTTGATATACTTTTTTTTAATTTCATATTTTTAAACTTCTAAAGAAAAAGACATGAACTTGGACAAGATCACAATCAATACAAAGACAAAATTTGAATGAAAAACACAGGAATAAATAGTTTATGGAATGTACAAGAACACGTACAAAGGTAGTCCAAGAAGTTAGTGAACAGTCACATTTTTTAAAAATCATTATTTACATGAAGTCAAATTTAGTACCAAAATAGATTTTGATAAAATTTCCAGCAGTGTGTTTTTGTTCAAGTTTAAATTTCAATAATTAGAATTTTTAAAAAAATGTCTCTCAATGATCCAGGATTGGCAAGGAAAGGGAACATCAATTCTTCCTTAATAGTTAATTGGATCCTCATAAGAAAGTCTTATTGTGTGAAAGAATTTCTTAAAATTTGTGAAAGTTAAGTAGAAATGTTTTCTAAAATAACAAAACAGTAATCATGGTAATACAGGATGTTGAAGCTTAAAGAGGCACTGAAAAATGAAAGTAAATAAGTTTTTAATAATAAAGCTTCATATTATGGTCCATGGCTTCAAGACAGGCACCATACTTTTATAAAAACATGCATCAGTTTGTTGATTTATTTTTTACTATTGTAAGCCAGGAATATCCTACAGTTGATGTGGTCCAAGATGGACTTCACTACTCTTACTAGATGAAAGAGAAAGGATCGTTATCAAGTCAAGTAACATATTTTATGATAATTTAAGTTCAGAAAATATTGCTGTCACATTGCAGAAATCATGAAACATAGACATGACCGTGCAACAATAACACTACAATAGATAACTTGCTGTAAGAATTATATTCAGTTGTTTTTAATTCTTTTTACACAGCAGCTTATCAAATAATTTTATTTGTTTCTCTCATTTTGTGAACAGACATCAGTAATTGTCCACTAGCTTTCTTGACAACCCTTAACATGTCCAACAAAGTTGATACCCAAGAACATACCCTAGACAGTGTACCAGATTGCATTCAGGCCCCATGATACTAAAACAAACATAACAGTAATAACAGAAGGTCATTAAGGAGAACATCTAATAGAAACATTTACATTAACCATGTTAACACAATTAAATAATCCAAGATACTCTAACAAATAAAGAGTAAAACACACATGACAATGTTTATGATATTCTATATGCAAAATGTGAACTTATTTTGTTAACAGTTTTATAAATTATTTCAAAATTGTCTAGTATGCCAATAGAATTATCACATTTCAATACAGTTTCATTAACAGGAATGTGGTGTTAATTGACATCCACTTATTTATGTGAAGGCCAGGTGGTAGCATTTAGTTCTCTTTATCCAGCTTCATTGTAAAATGTTATTTTGAAATCAATTAGCAAACTCTTTCGTAATTTACAATTTTGATCTTCCATCTTTTTAAGCATTGACATTTTTTATGTAACATGACTAAAACAGTAAAATCAACTTGTCAACTTATATGGCCTTGACACGGGGGAAAAATTGATCCCCGAGTCCTTTGACCTTGACCTTATCCAAATGACCTTGTTTTTGTATCAGACAAGTTACTCCCTTGTGTCAAATCCATGTACGTGAGCTTCAAATGAATATTCACTACATAAGGCAAGGACAAGAATTTAACAATTTGAACAGTGTGACTATGACTTTCTTTTCAAAATGAACTTGGTTTTATGGTTAAGACTTACCCTCTGGTCAGAAGCAACCTTTGTGGCAAGTATCAGCACTTAGGCCTAGAAAAAAAAAATATGTTTCTGCTTTCCTGACTGACCCTAATTTATAGTGCTGACCCTAATTTTTTGTGCTGACCCCAAATTTTTTTATGCTTTTTTTCAGTAAAGATCTGAATTTTCCAATTTTGTGCAATGTACATGATGTATAAAAATTACTATAATTTAAGTTACAAAAATGCTTTATCAGTTTTAGGCACCATTTCTTTTGTCAACAGTGTTATCTAGATGTTTTTTTTTTTTTTTAAATTTGCCTCCTACCTACCTATTTTTTCACCCAAAGAGCAGAAACATTTTTTTCTAGACCTTAGTCTTCCTACAGAATAGAGTCTGTACAGTACTGTAAAGTGGGATAGAAGGACAAATAGATTCCCATATATCCTCCAAACATTGTATGTAAAGGCTGAGGAGAAGTCTTATAGAAAAAGAAATTTCAACTACAATGATTTTTCCATTTTCAATTAATTGGTGTTAGCTTCTTGTATCAGTTCCATCTTGGAACAGAAAATGCCTCTAAATATCAACTTTACAACAAAAGTGACTAGAAAATGGACACAAAATTTTGCTGATTAATTAAATGCACTTAATAAAAATCATTTTCATGGAAAGTTTAGGAACGTTTCTAATCTTCACTATTTTAAGATTCATTATCCCTCCACTGAGAGAGCTAATTCTCACTGTGATAAATGAATATCATTCCCTTCAAAAATCGTCAAAAACGAAATTTCTTTAAAATCTGCACTGCAAAGTATGCTGAATTTGTGTGCAATTTTAATTTAAAATCACCCACGAAAGGCAATTGGGGCGATTATACTACAAAAAAAAACAAACAAACAAACAAAATAAAAAAAAAAAAACAACATAAAACCAATAAAGAGAACACAAGACAGCGTGATGCGGTGAAACATTGGACCCCGAGTCCACAGTAGAGAATACGAACACTATCCAAACCACATGTAGTCCAGCTTTTATGATCGTGACTGAATCGATATCTAATCCAGAGATTCTGGATCTGACTCCGGATCATAAGCGGGCAGATAAAACATGATCCTTGAGAGATAAACCTTCATTTTTGGAGGAACAGGAAGTCGTCGCGTCTGATCACACAACTTCCTCTTTCTGCTGAGTCTCTGCTGTATCACTTTCCGACACAAATTCATCAGCGAATGGGGAGAATTCATGTTCTTTTTATACCACATTAAGAAATTGGGGTCATCCCTCATCAGCTCCAGGGGGATTCCTGGACCTTTCCACTTGAGCCAGTCCACAAGATTTAACATATCACAGCCTGCTGAGTACAGAACTTTGATACAGGGTACCTGATACTTGAGGTCCTCTTTATACAGTCCAGTGCTGAGCGAGCTGACGCACACGTAAAGTGGTGTGCGACCATGATTGTCTAACGTGTTTACATCACTGTTCACATTCAGTAAAATACGGATCATATCTTTTAGTTTCCAGTGAGCAGCAACATGAATGGGGTACCTACCGGAGTTGTCACATCTACAAAACAAATAAAGCATGATTAAACAGTATAAATACAATCCCAGCATCAAAAGAGAGAATGTAATGGGTTTGCTACATGTGTTCAAGCAAAATTATAGTGTGATAGCGACTGATGGGAGTATATTTGCACTTGCGAGAACAGGCAAGTAAATAGATATGATATTATATTATATCAAAACAGGAACCACTGGTCCAGGAGCCATGAATTTCACATTTTTGAAGAGGCACCCTTGCTCATCATAACAATGCACCCTTGCTCATCATAACTAGTGATGGGAATCAGTCAGAATTCTCTTAATCGATGATCGGACTACTGTAACTAACTAATTATCAATTATAATCGGACATTTACAAAGTCTGTCAGTTTAGTTTATTAAATGGTAAGAATGGGTGAATAACTACTTTCTGTGGTGGTCCAGCTGTAGTTAGAATAATCTAAATGTGTCTCGAGAAAAGCCATAGTCCTTAGGACAATATCATTTTAACGATAGAATGTTCTATCTAGTCTAGCTGGTTCTTCGTTCATTTTGTTGAATCCAAAGTACGGCCATACCCGGAAATAAGCATTGTTACCCTGGTATGAATACAATGTCTGTTCGTCTGCGCCATTACGAAACACAAATAAGTTAACAGACAAGTCGCGGCAGGAATATTTGGCTTAAAAATTATTATGCTTGTAAAATAAAATAAATAAACCGATTAATCGGAATAAAAATTTTGTAATCAAGCGCTTGGATTATGCCAGCAATCGACTGATTTTCGATTATAATCGATGATTGGAACACCACTAATCATAACAATGCACTTAGTTTGTCTGCTAAATATACAAGGGGAGAAAAAAAAGATTTGTAAAGAATTTATGCATTTTTACTTTATGATCGATAGAACCCCACTCTAACTCCAAAACCTGTGACTCCGGGGCTATAAATTTCATGATATTGGTAGAGGGCTCAATGCTTATTACAATCATGCCAACATTTTGACTGTTTGATGTCTAGGAGTTAAATAGAAGATTTTTAAAGATTGCATTAATTTTCAAATTGATGGTTTATAGCCCCATCCCCCAGGCCCAAGGAGGGTTAATACTGTGAAATTCATAATTTTTGTTCCAGCATTATCTATCATTGTCTATCCCAGCATTTTCTATCACTGACTATCCCAGCACTGTCTTCTATCATTGGCCATCCCAACATTTTCTATCATTGGCTATCCCAGCATTGTCTATCATTGGCTATCCCAGCACTGTCTAGCATTGGCTATCCTAGCAATGTCTATCATTGGCTATCCCAGCATTATCTATCATTGGCTATCCTAGCATTGTCTATCATTGGCTATCCTAGCATTGTCTATCATTGACTATCTCAGCATTATCTATCATTGGCTATACCAGCACTGTCCATCATTGGCTATCCCAGCATTATCTATCACTGGCTATCCTAGCAGTTTCTATCACTGGCTATCCTAGCATTGTCTATCATTGGCTATCCCAGCACTGTCCATCATTGTCTATCCTAGCATTGTCTATCACTGGCTATCCTAGCAATTTCTATCACTGGCTATCCTAGCATTGTCTATCCCAACATTTTCTATCATTGGCTATCCCAACATTATCTATCATTGTTTATCCAAGCAATATCTATCCTTACCTATTTATAGAGGCTCCAGCAGATAACAAACATTCCACGGCAGCATAGCTGGAGTGTACGAAGGCATTCTGAACACAGATATACAGCGGAGTCTGGCCTTCTTTGTCTGCCTGATTGATGTCTGCTCCTGGAAAATTTACCAATATTATCTGCACTTACCTCCCCAAAATTATAAACTGCTCATATAACAGTTTAAAATGTAAATAATACACATGATATAAGAAAGAAGTATGAAGTTTTTCTTCGCAAGGTGAAAAGATTTGAGAAATTTTTTTCACATAAATTTTGTATAAATATCCTACAAGCATACTTTTAGTATTGAAGTATCGGTACATGTATTTGCTTTCCAAACCTGACCTACCTGCTTTTAGAAGCATTTCTATGAGGACAGGTCGGCCATGAAATGCTGCCTTATACAAGGGGGAACAACTGTTCCTGTCTGTCAGATTTATATCAGCTCCAGCCTTAATCAGAATCTTAAAAAAAAATATCAAACAGAATTCACAGTAAAGTGATTAAGAGGCATTAAATATCTCACAGCACATAACTGTTAAGTTTTAGTGATGGGTGCTTCACACTGATCATTTGTTATAAATGTAACCTTTCCAATTTTTCTTCTAAATGGTAGTTTTATTCTCGCTTTAAATTATTTACATGTTACAATATATAGCTTCCTCTGTTTCCTCTGTTTTCTCAGATACTTGTGCCATTTTTTATGAAACATCTGGATATAAACTCACAGCCACAGTGGATAGCTGACACAGTAATCTGACAGGGCTTAGAAACATTTGGATATAAACTCACAGCCAGTGGATAGCTGACACAGTAATCTGACAGGGCTTAGAAACATTGCCAGATGTTGTCAGATTGCTAACTGGAATTCAATTTTTAAGGTATTTTATCTTACACTGATTGACATTAGATTTTAGACTTGATGTCACTTTTTTTTGTATAACTTCAAGTTGTAAACGTAGTTGACTTCACTGATTTGTACACTTGCATGTATGTATGTACTTTAGTATATGTTTTAGTAATCTGAAAACACACTGTATTTTTTTTTTCCATTTTGTTTGTAACATGGTTGTATGCCAACATGTTTGGTGAATCAATAAATAAATTGAATTGAATTAATATTTTAAGTGTTATGGGTCCTGTCTGCAGTGTCCAGAAGTAAGGCCTGAGACTTTAAGAACCCGAAATCTTGAGCTTGTTAGGTGCTGTGCCTCTTTGTTGTAAATATTTCCATGAAATTTCAGGATGATAAGATTTAATAAGGAAAGAACAGGCCATCTTAGACAGTGTGATTCATCGTATCGATTATAACCAAAGGATGAACTGGTAAAGAAAAATCCCTTCATATTGTAAGGTGACATAAAAAGTAACCATATTTATCATGATTATTGAATAAATTGCCAATTTATTCTTATAGCAAGTGTGAGAGAAGTACATTAATAGTATAAAATTAATATGACAGCCATATTCAGATTTTATTTATATATAGATGAATAAAATAACAAAATATTTGACCTCTGTAATCTCCACATGATTTAGAGACACGGCTGCCAGCAGAGGGGTCGTGCTGTCTTTGACGCTGGGGATCAGGGGGTTACTCCATGGGTAGTTTATATCCGTTCCATGACTTATACACAGTTTGACCCCTTCCCTGTCATTGGCCATAACCGCGAGGTGAAGGTCACGCTCCTTCTGCGGCATTTCAAGTGACTTGAGTGTTGGTATGTCATCGTCAAAATACCTGGTTGACTTAGAGGATTTGGAGTTGCCCATTTTTCCAACACATGAAAATGGGTTCAACTTCCTGTATCCTACAAAACAAAAATTCTGCTTACTTTTTATTCTTGAATCTCATAAGGAAGTTTTTAAACCTAATACTTATATGCTTTATCTTAATCTACATACTTTATCCTCTCTTCTGCCCTTACTGCTAAGCTTGGCTTGATTTCTTTAACTGTTACCAGTGTTCTCAGATTGTATTTTTTATTCTTAGTGATTTGTGCTTCTCTTTGCTGTGTTAAAAATAGGCACTTCAGTGTTTATGTTTATTTGTCAATTTTTTGATATTATAAAGTAAACATTTCTGGAGCTGATTTAGAGCTGTTACTCAGACAAATAATCTGAAGAGCTGTGTCGTGGAGATGACCAATGCAATGATATTGGCAAAGAATCTCTGCGTTAAACAATGATGCATTTCATCCTCAATGTTTTTTTTCTCTGTTCCAGACTAGTAGAATCATAAATATATCATGTATGATATGTATATACACTGAAATATTACATGTGCTTGTTTTATGAATAAACAATAAAATGTTCTCAAGTAACATGAGTAAACGTGTTGTATAGTGAGACTTCCCCCACAGTTAGACTTCCCTCAAAAGACTGGCTATATAGTGAATCTTCCCCCAGAAGACTGGCTATATAGTGAGACTTCCCCCCCAAAAAACTGGCTATATAGTGAGTCTTCCCCCAGAAGACTGGCTATATAGTGAGTCTTCCCCCAGAAGACTGGCTATATAGTGAGTCTTCTCCCAGAAGACTGGTTATATAGTGAGTCTTCCCCCAGAAGTCTGGCTATATAGTGAATCTTCCCCCAGAAAACTGGCTATATAGTGAATCTTCCCAATTAAAACTGGCTATATAGTGAGTCTTCCCCCAGAAAACTGGCTATATAGTGAATCTTCCCAATTAAAACTGGCTATATAGTGAGTCTTCCCTCAGAAGACTGGCTATTTAGTGAGTCTTCCCCCAAAAACTGGCTATATAGTGAGTCTTCCCTCAGAAGACTGGCTATATAGTGAGTCTTCCCTCAGCATTTTCCTTCAGGAAGTCTCACTATATATAGCCAGTCTTCTAAGGAAGATTAACTATATAGCCATTCTTCTCCCCTTCATAGCAAGGGCTCCCTCTTCCACTTTAGTTTTCAGAAGACATTTTTTTGGTCTCTTGTGTATCAATAAAGTTTGTTCTGTACTGTTGTTCGTTTGGTTTTAAGAAACATTCTTCTCTGGAAATAGCCAAATAGAGGGGGGAAAAACACAAACACTGGGTTCAAAATTCACTATATACAACTCAAAAAACGCGAGTTAGAATTCCCAAATTGCGAGTTAAAAATTAGGTAACTCGCAAAAACTTGCGAGTTGATTTTTTTTGCATTGAAACTGTAGCAAAATTATATAATATGACAGAACACAATGCTTTTGATTTAAATCAGTAATTTAAATAAAAGTCACACTGTAGTTGTATTTTGTGTATTGTACAGTAGTTACTTTTTCCTTAAGTTACATGTATTTAATTTATATAAATTTAACTTTATATGAAAATTGCGAGTAGTCTTATAAAATTGCGAGTTCACTTTCTTGGTACTCGCAATTATTTGTGAGTTGTAATTTTAGGGAGTTTCTAACCCTGTAAGCATTGAACATAACTCTACATACAATTTACAAACAAACATTATATTCCAGTTGAAAATTACATGCAAATACAATATTGTTTGTTTTCCCTCTGAATTCAACTTCCTACAGCTAGTACAGAGTTCAGATACATGAGTATAAAGTGTGTCAACTACAGTCTAGACGAACTCCAAAAACGGCCTGAATGCTGAAAAAGAAGTCTTTGGCTCCATCATGCATTGCCGCCAATGTAAACAAACAATGGATTGTCGTTTGCTTTCTCCAAATACAAAGTCACATAATGACTGTATTTAGTACATTGTGACTTTATTTAAATTTTTGTTTAATGTATTAATGTGTGATTTAAAAAAATCAGCAAATAACGATGGTGAGAACTTATGCTTTCGATTCTGATGTTGTACACAATAAAAATACCAAAATGATAATTTATGTTTAAAATTCAGTCACGTTTTTAACAGTTACAATATATATTGTTCTATTTTGTTTATTTCCTTTTTATTATGCAATATGCATATTTACTTCTTAAAAGTATCATTGTAAGAGCTGAATTTAATTTTTGAGAATTCATGAGGACATTACTATGATGCTTCAAGCCAGCATATTTCATGAAGCGTCATACATCATGAATTCTCAAAAATTAAATTCTATCTTATATTTACATTATTTTTCTGATGACTTGCCACAAATTTTTGTCACTCAACAAGCATTGTTGAAAAAAAAAGTTTGCACTATTTTTTTACTTCAATTACATCACAATGGAAATATTCTTACTCATCCCATGGTAGTTCAAGAGAACGTGAACTTTTTCTAATTTGCAAAGAATCTTTAAAGGAAAAATATTTGGAAATGTAATTGATCTGATTTGAAACGTAAACTTTCAAAGTAAATGTCTTCTTTTTTGCAAATAGAATCTAAAATCTCACAAATACAGTCTCTTTCGAAGTCTTTAATGTAGCATTTTGGAGTACTCGCATAATGGCCATACTTCCCAAAACTTGGTATGGGGCAGATTTTGTAGACCCATGATTTTTGCCGAAAAATCAAAATTTTTTTTAGTGTGTGCACATGGGCGTATCATTGTTTTGAGAATTCATGAGGACATGAACTAGGATACTTCATGGCCGGCATATTTCATGAAGCATGTTAATGCTTCATGATAAATATGCAGACATGAAGCGTTGCAGTTCATGTACATCATGAATTCTCAAAATTTAAATTCACATCTCATATTTACATTATTTTTCTGATGACTTGCCACATATTTTTGTCATTCAACAAGCATTGTTGAAAAAAAAAGTTTGCACTATTTTTTTTACTTCAATTACATCACAATGGAAATATTCTTACTCATCCCATGGTAGTTCAAGAGAATGTGAACTTTTTCTGATTTGCAAAGAATCTTTAAAGGAAAAATATTTGGAAATGTAATTGATCTGACTTGAAATGTAAACTTTCAAAGTAAATGTCTTCTTTTTTGCAAATAGAATCTAAAATCTCACAAATACAGTCTCTTTCGAAGTCTTTAATGTAGCATTTTGGAGTACTCGCATAATGGCCATACTTTCCAAAACTTTGTATGGGGCAGATTTTGTAGACCCATGATTTTTGCCGAAAAATCAAAATTTTTTTAGTGTGTGCACATGCGCGGACTCTATTTTCGGAGTCTTTTTAGTCTCATTTTCTTTCTTCCGTTTACCCCATTTTTGGATATTGTCTATACTGTATATAGTTCATAAATCAAATCATGTCCTTGCTTAATATAAGACAACATAAAGTCTTAGTATTATGATTGACATTAACTTTGCACATTGCTGACATATTAAATGCATATAATCATCATATAATATGTGAATTTAAGAAATACTCTGTTCTAAAGACATATTATTAAATTTATAAATAAAAAATATCGAAGGATACAGTAACCTGATAGATGTATGTCAACCATATTTACATTTGAAGAAAATGTTATGGACCATCATACGATTATCTACGGATATGTTTACTTAATCTGTTAATACACTTTACCTCTGCGTGGGTTTTTCACATGTTCGTCTGGAGATCGTTGATTTGCCAGTGTTAAGATTTGTAGACGTTTTCAAATACGAAAAATAAACAAAACGGGAGAAGATAATTAATATGCTAAATTCTGTTCGCACTGTCTGTAGCACCCCGGATGTAAATATTAAAACCCAAGGGTGAAACGTATTCCGGAATATTAAAATATTAGCTCACCTGGCTAATTCTAACGTTGTCAAGTGTATTTTGCTCTGAATTTGAAAACATTTTTTTTTCAAAACCATCTTGTAGGTGTCACATGCATTTGGGCAATAAAAGGATTAATTTATTTAGCAATCTTAATTAATTCACGTTTTGGGGAGAGGAGGATACTGACTAAGTGGTCAGTGATCTAATCAGTTAAGATTAGACGACACGTTCCTCAATAATATATATTTTTTAGAAGAACTTGTCATTGAAGTATTGCTACTTTAATAAGTTTCCTCACCAAAATTAAGGTACCTTACCAGGCGTTTGTGCAAGATACCAGAGGGTGTTATTTGCTATATAATCTTATTAGAAATCACTACCACTGCCAATATCACAATTTTTTGTGTCTTTGTCTACCTAGACATTTTGAAAACAGTTTAGAAATCACAAGATAATGATAATTATGATTTATTTGCTATATAATACTGGGAGATACAAAACAGATGTTTCTAGCATCTATAGCTTGTCGTCAGACCTTATAAACATTAATAAAGAGGAGTCTTAATCATTAATACTAATGATAAATCATTGAACACATGTTGAAAGAGTTTATAATATGACCAAATTATTTAACACAAAACATAGGTTACGTATTGGTCGTACGCCCCATCCTTAAATCTTAAAAAAAGAAAAGTAAATGAACGAACAAACAAACAAATAAACAAAAAACAAAAAAAAAAGAATATTAGTAAATAAATAAATAAACATATGAATAAATAAATTTATAAATAAGATATATTAAAGCTTGAAATATTTGATAACAATAAATATTTTGACAATAACACTAATAAATACCCATCTCACCTTGCATTGTTGATAAGAATTTAAAATATATACTATATATAAAGTGATGCTTTATGCGTTTGTAAATTTCAGTCTTGATGTATGTGAAAAAGGTGAAGATTACTGATGACGAATTTTGATCAATCTTATATATCTTGTAAACAATTCACAACATACATGTATGAACGAGGCAAAAAGCCAAAAAAAAAAAAAAAAAAAAAAAAAAAAAAAAAAAAAAAACAACAACAACAAACAAACAAACAAACAAAAAACAAACAAACTGGACAATGTCGTGTCCGGAGTTAAATGTCGCACTGTTATAACCCAACGATAGGTTGTATTTGCAAAAAAGGTCATGATCACAACGACAATAGAATCGGCGAATTGCTGGCCTTAAACGAGATTGTAGAAATTCTTGCAATATTAACTTATTTGTCAGTAGCCTGTCTTAAAATTTGATCGTACTTAGAACATGCTTTTGTGCACTGAATCAACCGCACCACAGGCAAGTGAAGGTTGAATAATTAATACTACATAGATAAGGAAATCTGAAGTTGGAAAACAGAGGCACTTACGGCACGTGACGAGTTATACTAATGCTAAGCATGGCCGTATAGGGACCGGGGGGAGGCACGGTGGGCCGTGCCCCCCCCCCCCCCAATAATTTTGCCGATATATAGAATACTATAGAAAACATATAGCTACTATATGCCTGTGCCCCTACAAATAACGTCTGATGACCCCCCTTTTCTTTTGCTTGTCAACGAATTTTGGTAGTTGATAGTGCCCCCCCCCCCCCACTGAAAATGTATGTTTGTGCCCCTCAAAGTGAAATTCCTTCCTACGGACCTGCTATTAAAGATTCATATTGAATAAAAATAAAGAAAATGAATAACTGTGAGATTTGCAAATTCCTTCTTTTTTTTAAATTTCAAAATCATATATATTTGACGCTGTCTAAATACTTATCAATTTTGATAAAAATCGTTCAAATAAATATATTCTTCAAAGAATTCGTCTCTTTGTAAATTTGTTACAGTGTATATCATTAATGCTGCTAAATTTTGAAAATTGTTTTAAAAATAATTTCTTTGAAAGATTTCGTTAGACCAGGGACCTATATACTAGTATATAGGTCCCTGGTTAGACTGGGCAAAACCAGTCGACCGCCTTCGTTTTTCACTGACGAATACTTTTAAGTACAAGCTACAGAGCACCCATTAGACGAATACTATTAAGTACAATCTGTTGAGCACCCATTACACCGAATGAGGGATGGCGGATATTTCAAGTCTCTTCAAAACGTTTACCCCTTCACTTTCTTCTATAAAAACAGATCTACTAAGGGCGAATCGTGAATGTTCACAAAGGAAATTATTTCACAGTGCTAAGTGGTTTGTGCGAAGTTCAATATTGGTCATAAAATTCTTAAATCACTTATGAAAATTAAACTCGAATTTCCTTAATTATTTTTGTATCGATTTATGTTGTTCATTTTTGTGCTTTATCATGTCTATACAGGGCTGCAGAGTTGCTGTACTCCATTGAGTCACCTGTTGACTACAAACAGATCTTGTCTGTGCAAGAAAGACCAGTAAGTTACAGTTTTTGCACAGTGCACAGGGGCATCTTATTCGCTCTTTTCTCAACTACACATATAAAAATACACAAGGGAAGAATCGAAAGTAGGACACGATTTGTAAACAAAAGAAGAAAACAACATACTTGAGAAAAGTTACACAAATCCTTATACATGTTATATGCAAATGATGTCCTAGTACTTATGCAGGCTAAAATATTCCAAATATATCCAACGTAAATAGCTTTTATCCAAATAATTAAAACATCAGCCATCAGCTTTCTGCACAGTTTGAAACTCTTCGCCCAAGAAAAGATAACTTGACAACTTCCGTTTTTTCTTTTTTCATAAATTCTATAATACAATTGTTCGAATTTTAAACATCCCTTGCCATCATTGATTTTTTTTTCTCTCCATTTAACTATAAGTTATAATACAGTCCCTGAAACGTTCTACTTTCCCACTTGAACGGTGAGCGAACGCTGAACGAACGGTGAACGAACGCAGAGCGAACGGTGAGTGAACGATGTGTGAACGCTGAACGCAACTTGGTGAATGATGTGTGAACGGTGAGCGAACGCAGAACGCGAACGGAGCGCAAACGCGAACGCAAAGTGAACGGTGAACGAACGGTGAACGCAAGATGAACGATATATTCGGAATGCCTCTGATCTTTTCCTTGCATTGAAACTATTTTATTGTATTATAATGTCAGATGCCAAAAAAAAAAAAAGAAATAATAAATAAGTAAACAAATAAATGAATGAATAAATAAGTCAATAAAATAAATTCTCCAAAATTGTCCTAAGAAAGACGATGCATGCACATTAAGTTTTTAATCACACGAGTTTTATCGCATTAAAACATTGCAATTGTTGCCGAACGCTGAAGTATAAAAGATATTGTTTTTAGTTGGAAAATAAAAATGTTTATTCTTAGTTGATAACAAATCAGAGAAAACTTATGATTTATAGAATGAATTAAAGCGGTTGTAACTTATATTCATATAAATATCCATGTCAAGGCGATTTCGTGTAAAGTAATGAAAAAAAAATTAATTACATTTATACGCTCGTATTTTAATTTTTAATACAATAATATATTATGTGTCATTTCTATTTTTCATTATGATTTATTAAGCAGACGTCTACATGTATCTCTAGATGGCCGTGATTATACTCGGACAAGATGATACAAAGATACATATTCATATTATTTGTTATAAATTCAATTTTCAGAACTTGATATTTAAGTAATATGGTGTTTTAGTTTTTATTAAACAGACAAATGAGAGAGAGAGAGAGAGAGAGAGAGAGAGAGAGTAATATTCAGTTTTAGCCCCCCCCCCCCCCCCCATTTCAGGCTTCACCAAATGTTTGTACCTATATCAAACAAAAACTCTGAAATTTTTTTCTAAATATATCAGACAGTGAAAGTAACTTTTTTTTAAATCAACAAATCATATCCATTTGTTTGACAGTCATACTCGTTTTTATTTTCCTGCTTCAAGTTCACACGAAGTCCACGTGCTTTTCCTGTCAATCAAAATCATTCGACACTGTGCAGGTGTGAAAGTTTCGTCACATCGAAGACGAAGTGCGAGTATTTCCAACAAGTTATAACATTTATTTTTATCATTTCTAGATTTGATTCCAACATTTGAATAATAAATTAGTAAAATACATTGGACATTAACACTTGAATGTGAAACATACTCTCTGCCAATTTCAAATACCACCGCCGACACGTGTACATTTTGATCTACTATTGTTTTGTGACTTTTTTAGATGCATGTTTGTTTTGAGACTGAAATTTTTGTTCTAAAAAAGACCGTATCTTTTCTTTAAATGTTAATTAAAATATTCTGGAAATACGGAACTGACTAAGTCACCGATTTAGGGGGAAGGGGGGGGGGGTATTAATCATATCGAATGGCAAACATATAAAGTTACGGTGAAGAAAGATTTTTTTTCTCTTTAACTATAGACTTTACATATTACAGTAGAGAAATTCTGTAGTGCATTACATTTTGAATAAATATTTCCTTTATCCACACTATCAATTTAATTCGTTTTAAAGATAATAAATTAACAGGATATCCGCAGTACTATGTATAACTCTCAGAACTAGTTCTATTATATTTTGTAACAACATTTATTTTCCAGAGTAATTTAATAAATAACCTAACAGCTAAGTTAGAATAATAAAAATATATATCGTAGATATTTTTCCTCATGAAATAATGATTCTTCAAACACGATATGTTAGTTAATAAATTAAAAAACCCTGTAACTCCTTAACTACAAAAAGATAAGTCCTTTCACTTCGGAGTTCCGAATGACAATGAAAACTGAACGATAGGTGAACGCTGAACGCAAGGTGAACGCAAAATGAACGGAACGAAGAGCGAACGCTGAACGCTTTGTGAACGGTGAACGCGAGCGCACGGTGAACGGTGAACGCAAAACTGTGAACGGAGAGCGAACGGTGAACGAACGGTGAACGCACACTGAACGAACGGTGAGTGAACGGAAAAATGGGAAAGTAGAACGTTTCAGGGACTGTAATAACTTGTTTCAGTGGTTTTGAAGTTTCTTGATGCATCTCTTTTTACAAAACTATGATCAGACAAAAAAATGTACATCACGCTACACCTGACACACTGATCTTTTGATAATTCAGACTGACAGAGGGATTTTCGTAGCTGGAACCCTGAACAGAAATACAGGACCTTTAATATGTGCACACCTATGATATGTAATAGCACTGCCATATTTTTCTCAACACTTTTATCCCCCTAATATAGTTACTTTGTAGAATTTAGGGTTGGTAAAATGTTTAAATAAATTTCAAAAATTTTAAAATCTTTTAGGATTTTGTCGAGGAATATGACAAGTTCTGCTTGGCCTCTAGTTTCTTTGATCTGAAGGAGTATGACAGGGCTGCTTACTTTGTCCAGGACTGTAAGAACAACAAAGCCTACTTTTTACACATGTATGGAAGATACCTCGCTGATGAAAAGAGGAAGCTAGACAATGCACCTGATTCAATTGGTAAAAATATCTTCTATAATACACAATTCATAAGAGAATCTTAAGAGAAATGTCAAAGAAAACTAAACACAGATTTTTCTCAGTCACAAGAACAAAAATTATATTATACATGTAGCATAAACATTTCAAATTAAATTCACTATATTAAGGTCAGGTTGAAGAAAGTACGTTACAGCAATAGAAAAGTTTCAAGTTTTCCCCCTACAGAGATTTAATATTGATGCACTCTTGATATTAGATATTAGGTTCGTGATTGAGTAATCATACTTTGGAATCTTTTTAAGGCCCTCCAGAAAAACTTGAAAATGAACATTTAAAAACTCTGAAGACAGAGTTGGCTAAGAAGTATGCAATAAAAGAGCTGGATGGATTCTGTATATATCTGTAAGTAGCAACACTGAAAGATTCCATATGCATATATCTTCCTTAATACAGAATACAGAAATATAGTACAATACAGAAATTCCTCAAAGATTTGCAATGTGAACAGGTAATTCAGTATTAATAATGAAGTTGTTTTGTAGATATGGTGTGGTGTTAAAGAAACTAGATTTGTTAAAGGAGGCAGTAGAAATCTTTGTTGATGCTGTAAATGCTGAACCGTTACACTGGGGAGCATGGTTAGAGCTGGTCACACTTATTAAAGACAAGGAGTCAGTGAGTACACTCACAACACCAGCTTTATTCTCACAAGGATGGAACATTCATAATTCATAATTACAGATCTGATGTCCAAACCAGAAAGTTTATTGTTACTCATTCTCTTGACAAGATCCCTTTGAGTCACATTTACACTGTATAGATTTAATTCTAAAATCCTCTGCATTGATAAGTTTATCCTCTTTGACATTTTCCCTCAGCTGTTGGCCCTGTCCCTGCCAAATCATTGGATGAAGCACTTCTTTCTGGGGCACATTTACCTGGAGCTGCAGCTGAATGAGGAGGGATTGAAAATTTACCAGCATCTTATGGACAAAGGCTTCGTTAAAAGTACCTACATTGTGTCACAGGTCGCCATGGCCTATAACAACATGAGGGGTAAGCCATGCTTGTCTCAGTAGTGATGTGGAATATGATTGTGTGAATGCATATTTAGTGCAGATTATTTTATTGTGATAGAGTGAATGGGTTATGCATCATTAACATGTATAGATTACCTTTTCCTCACATTAATATTTCATTTTTACCATCAACACAAGGCACTAGGATTGTACTATGTGTATGCAATTTTATACATTCAAACCGTATTTTTCTCATTGACAAAAAACAAAAAGATAATTACTGTTAGTAGTGATGTCATTGTGATGTTTTTGTTTCCAGAGGTGGACATGGCAGTAAATGCCTTCACAGAACTGTCAGAGATGGACCCCTACAGACTAGAAAACATGGACTACTTCTCCAACACTTTGTACATAAAGGTAAGGGCAGTATGTAAAGGTGAAGACAGTATGTAAAGGTGAAGACAGTATGTAATGGTGAAGACAGTATGTAAAGTTGAGGACAGTACGTAAAGGTGAAGACAGTTCATAAATGTGAAGGTGAGGGTAGTATATAAAGGTTAAGATAGTACATAAAGGTAAGGACAGTACATAAAGGTGAAGATAGTACATAAAGGTAAGGACAGTACATAAAGGTGAAGATAGTACATAAAGGTAAGGACAGTACATAAAGGTGAAGATAGTACATAAAGGTAAGGGCAGTAAAGATGAAGACAGTACATAAAGGTAAGGACAGTACATAAAGGTGAAGATAGTACATAAAGGTAAGGGCAGTAAAGATGAAGACAGTACATAAAGGTAAGGACAGTACATAAAGGTGAATTCTATGTAAAGGTAAGGACATTACATACAAAGGAAGTTGAGGGCATGATGTATTGACAAGGACACTAACTCCTCCTAGGCACCTGATACCACCTCTGGAATATCTAGGAGTCTGTGTTTAATGCCCTGTTGTTTGTAGATTTGTTTGAGATTGATCACTGTTTGTTATCTTGACCTTTTTTTCATGAAGGCAAAAGCTTTACACAACAGTGGACAACATGAAGGTAGGGATCTTACATGAACATAAAACATGAGGATTGTATAGATAGTACAAAACAGTGAGAGCAATAAAAATGGCAAGGGTAGTACATAAGCCTGAGGGCTTTAATTAGAGGAAAGAGTGGTACAAATATTTGAGGACAGTTCAAAAGACATAAAAATGAAGACTACACAAAAGATCAGGACAGTTTAATCAATTTAAACATGTTAAAGTAAAATTGTTGTATGATGAAAATCAGATTTTATAATGCTTCCTTCCTCTGTATCTAAATAGAAGATGGACTTTGATTAAACTGTTTTTTTTTTTTGCTTGTTGTTGAAGGAGATGCGAGCTGATTTAGCTCACCTGGCACACCGGTGTTGTGACATAGATAAATACAGAGAGGAGACTTGTGTTGTTATAGGTAAGGACAGGCAAGTAATCTAAATCAGGAACTCAGGTGACCAATCCATTCCTGTCTGTTTTATGTGAACTGTCCTAAGCTTTGAACATTTTCACCTCCTCTGAAATGACGAAACCAAATTTTGTCACTTTTGATATAAAGCATCAAGGCGCAGGAGAACTGTAGGTATGTCACTTGTCAGTTTTTGAGAAAAATTTGGTCAGAATCTCTAATAACAAAATAACCAATTATAGTTTAATTTTCATAACATAGTTAAATTAAACAAGGCAAATTGTGAATCTTTTAATTTTAAAAAACACTCTCAAAGTCAGCTGGAAATAAGTCTTCTGAGGGACTATTTCTTATTGTGGAAGGATATTAAAAAGAAAATTCTCAGTATCTACAGATAAGTTTTATTTAGTATGTTGGAACTTTGGCCCTACATATTTTTACTCACAGAAATCCTGTTATATTCCTCTTCTCTTGACTTCTTATAATTTTCTAAGTAAGTAAGGGGGGGGGATTAAATTTTAGTAGAACAAAATGGGGAGGCTCTTTGGTGACCATCAATGCCTGAGGATGTATGTTTACTCTGAATTATTTTTCCTGAGTTTTGATTGACTTGTTTACCATTTCTAGGTAACTATTACTCTCTGCGGCAGCAACATGAGAAAGCCGTGCTGTATTTCCAGCGGGCCCTGAAGCTGAATCCCCAGTATCTGTCCGCCTGGACCCTGATGGGGCACGAGTTTATGGAGCTAAAGAACACAACTGCAGCAATCCAAGCATACAGACAGGCTATTGGTGAGTGGAGATTTAAAAGCTTTAAAATTCTAGGGTAGGCTAATAGTAGGGACAATGTTTTACGTAGTTAGGGCTGGGTATCAGTTGAAAATTTCGTATTGCGATGTATTGCGATCTTTGGAACTGTATTGCAATATGAATTGCAATATTTTTGATAACAGTTAAAATGCTCTTTTCTTATTTTATTAACCTCCATTTATAAGTAGAGTGTATAAAACTTTTTAGCTCACCTGAGCTGAAAGCTCAAGTGAGCTTTTCTGATCACCCGTTGTCCGTCGTCCGTCCGTCTGTCTGTCCGTCCGTCCGTCTGTAAACTTTTCACATTTTCAACTTCTTCTCAAGAACCACTGGGACAATTTTAACCAAATTTGGTACAAAGCATCCTTGAGTAAAGGGGAGTTTAAATTGTTAAAATAAAGGGCCAAACCCCCTTACAAGGGGAGATAATCAAGAAAAGACAAAAATAGGGTGGGGTCATTAAAAAATCTTCTTCTTAAGAACCACTGGGCCAGAAAAGCTGAAACTTATGTAGAAGCATGCTGGGGTAGTGTAGATTCTAAATTGAAAAAATCATGACCCCCGGGGGAAGAGCGGGGCCACAATAGGGAATCCAAGTTTTACATTGAAATATATAGAAAAAATCTTTAAAAATCTTCTTCTCAAGAACCACTGGGCCAGAAAAGCTGAAACTTATGTGGAAGCATGCTGGGGTAGTGTAGATTCTAAATTGTTAAAATCATGACCCCCGGGTGAAGGGCGGGGCCACAATAGGGAATCCAAGTTTTACATTGAAATATATAGAAAAAATCTTTAAAAATCTTCTTCTCAAGAACCACTGGGCCAGAAAAGCTGAAACTTATGTGGAAGCATGCTGGGGTAGTGTAGATTCTAAATTGTTAAAATCATGACCCCCGGGGGAAGGACGGGGCCACAATAGGGAATCCAAGTTTTACATTGAAATATATAGAAAAAATCTTTAAAAATCTTCTTCTCAAGAACCACCAGGCCAGAAAAGCTGAAACTTATGTGGAAGCATCCTTTGGTAGTGTAGATTCTAAATTTTTAAAATCATGACCCCCGGGGGAAGGGCGGGGCCACAATGGGGAATTCAAGTTTTACATTGAAATATATAGAAAAAATCTTTAAAAATCTTCTTCTCAAGAACCACCTGGCCAGAAAAGCTGAAACTTACGTGGAAGCATGCTGGGGTAGTGTAGATTCTAAATTGTTAAAAATCATGACCCCCGGGGGAAGGGTGGGGCCACAATAGGAAATCCAAGTTTTACATTGAAATATATATAAAAAAATCTTTAAAAATCTTCTTCTCAAGAACCACCAGGCCAGAAAAGCTGAAACTTATGTGGAAGCATGCTGGGGTAGTGTAGATTCTAAATTATTAAAATCATGACCCCCGGGTGAAGGGTGGGGCCACAATAGGGAATCCAAGTTTTACATTGAAATACATAGAAAAAATCTTTAAAAATCTTCTTCTCAAGAACCATTGGGCCAGGAAAGCTGAAACTTATGTGGAGGCATCCTTGGGTAGTGTAGATTTTAAATTGTTAAAATCATGACCCCCATGGGTAGGGCGGGGCCACAATAGGTATTAAAAAAGATCGTCTGGTGAAGAACAGCAGGGCCAAAGTTATTCAGGTGAGCGTTGTGGCCCATGGGCCTCTTGTATAAATATGTTGTAACAAAAAGTTCAAGTTGATTTCACTAGTTTGGCAATGAAATGCAACCATACAACAGAAACTTTTAACATTTGGTACTGTTTGACACAATTGAAAGCGTTTCTGACATCTTAAATTTCATACATGTATTTTACTTCATAAATCTAAAGCCCAATCATTTTGCCGGTATATCGGTACTGGAAAAAGGTATCGCAATTCGATATTTTTTGTCAATGAATTGCAATATACCAGAATATTGATATTATTGCACAGCCCTATTAGTAATTGGTCCGAATTTACAGATAACTGTAGGAAAAAATTAATTGAAGACAATACATGTATTTTAAAAGTCTTATTTGAAATATTTTGTTTACGACATAAATGATAAAACCTGTGATTATAAACGTATGTACTGTCACTTCAGAAATCAACATTAGGGATTACAGAGCCTGGTATGGTCTCGGACAGACCTATGAGATTCTGAAAATGCCATTTTACTGTCTGTATTACTACAGGCAGGCACAGAAACTAAGGTATCACTCTAACAGTAAAATGAAAGTAGGATCAGATGTGCTCTAGTAATGGTAAAGGGAAGTTTGCAATTCAGAGTGAAGAAGCACTGTTAATTAGAACTCGGTATCTTTTGCAGGTTGTACATGTGTGTCAGGGTGTAAATTTCATTAAAACATTTTGATAGCAAATCTTAATGAATGAACAGTACACCTGTTTTGTTTTCATGATTGTTGTTTGAATGTTTAAAGTTCAGAGGGAATCAGCACTCCTCTACATAGTCATCGTGCATTTGCCTTAAACTCACACATTCTGTAGGAATAATAAGGGTATAATCTATTTCTTGAATTTATATTCAAATCATTTTGATGCGCAATATGAACTATTTGATGATAACAATTTCTATAATGTTTTAGACCCAATGATTCTCGAATGGCGATGGCACTTGGCGAGTCTTATGAGAAATTGGAAAGATTACAAGAGGCTAAGAAATGTTTCTGGAAGGCTCATGTAGTGGGTGATATGGAGGGGATGGCACTCATCAAACTGGCCAAGTAAGTCAGGAGTTAGGGGTAGCAAGGTTTGGCTGTGGCACAGGGAATAACCAAGCATGACAAGGGCCTAAAAAATAACCAAGTGTGTCAGGCCCAATGCATACATGTATCTGAAGCAGATGGGATACCTAGGTAAACTAGGGCTTAAGGACCAGCCAGATATCCCAGGGGCTTAGTGGGTAGCAGAATAAGTGGGGTGTGGTTTATTATTCAATAAGCTAAATAAGCACATGTTTTAGGGGCCTGAGGTAACAGAATACCATTAGTCACTTGCAAGGGAATTGTAGATCAATGAGTTTCAGGAGAAAGCCCAGTAATTCAGGGATTAGAGGAATACTGTATACTGGGAAATTTTCGACCCCGTTTTATTTTCGCCCCTTTCGCCCCCCAGTGGTTGAATTTAAAATGGGGCGAATTCAAAGAAGACAGTATAATTTCTTAAACAGAACTGTGACTGGGCGAATTTAAAACAGGGCAAAATTCTTTGCAAGTGTGAAAGGGAGAAAATAACACGGGGCAAAAATAACCATGTATACAGTAGTTAATTAGGGAGGAATCTTAGAGATATCCTTGTGTGTGAGTAGTTAGGAGATATCAAGGTGCCAAGGAGGTCATACTTATTGGCTACCATAGTAGGCTTGTTGAATAACTAAGTACTTGAGGACTTTGGGGTTACTAAAAACTGAGTGACCATACCTGGAATAAAGCTAAGTAAGTAAGGATATCAGACCCATTGCTTAAATCAAACTGCATTGTATTTCTAGTTGTTTAGGTCAAAGAACTGTACTGTTTTCAAAGCTCAGGATTTTTGATATCCTTACTGTAAGCATGCATACCCGGTAAATTGGTGCACTCAAAATTAAATGCATTCTTCCTCTTCAACTAACTAGGCCAATCATGAATTACCCCAGTTATTGGTAATTTAAATAATGTATTGGCATGTATATGAAGTAGCGCAAAGGGCGCAGAAATATGGTTACTGCTAAAATAAGTACAATTACAGTATTTGTATATTAAACAATCTAATTTTCCTGCAAATTATATATTTGTATAACATTTAAACTATATAGATGTATAATTATTCCAATGTTAACTTACAGTTCTGAAATTTGGGTTGTAGACTACAAATGTGATTCATTATTCTCAAATTATTTTCCAGTGCAAAATATTTAAAGACATTCTGGGTGTTCAGAAAAAGAACATTTCAAAATCAAATTTTGGAAAATTAGTTTTTTTTTATAGCAATATAGTAATATAGTATACTTAAATATATTTTCTATTGAAGAAATTTGACCAAAAAAATCTAAACAAAATTATGAATTATTGCACATGCATTGAAATGGGCAGATAGATACTCAAGGCCTTGTCTTCCTAGAGCAAAATGTTTATGTCATTTTTGCAAACTACGTATTTATTGAAAATGAAAAACTTTGTGTACTTTATTGTCCTAGTTACAATAAATGTAGTTTACATTATTGCAATATATTTAATGCCCAAAGTTACATGAAGGAAAATCCTAAAATTGACATAATTAACCCTCTAAATGTTAAACCTGCTGGAAGAGTATGTAGCTTTTTAAAGAAGTGCTTTGATATCGGAAAAGAAAGACCAAAATAATTAATATGCACAGACATGTACTTGTATATGACTGCAGTAAGTATGTGTTTGTTAACTGGGTAATTCAGTGTATCCCATCTTATTATTGTTCATTTTTTTTGGTTGTATTTGTGACTATATACCAATGTATGATGGTGTCAATAAAATAAATTATGAACAGAAATATGTTTGAATAATTTTGAGAACATTCACTTGATTTATGATATACTTGTATACTGTAGATTTGCAAATAATAACGATGGTTTTAATTTCACTATGTACGCGATTCATCATTTTTCCGCAAAATTAAACCCGTTGTGAATGGTATCATTAGTTTTTAAAAACGTTTAAATGCTTATACGAAATTTAAATTAATTTCTTGCAGCATAAAATTAAAACAATCGCGATTGGTACTTTTTGAGAAATCGTGAAATTTTAACACGGTGGAATTAAAATGACTTATTCTATATGCATTAAAATATTTAGATAATAAATTTAATTTCCTAATGTTGTGAACTAAATGTCACACTATAAGTTCCTTGCACTAAATGTCATAATATACATTACAGTGCCCTATGTTAATGTTAAATTCCTGGTTCCAGATTACATGAGCGTCTTGGTGAAGAGGATCAGGCTGCCTCAGCTTATACAGAGTACATCAATGAGGCCAATAGAATGGGGGTCAGTAGGTCATACAAACTGTGTCATTAGGTCACACAAGTGGGGTACAAACTGGGGTCATTAGGTCACACCAGTACCATTCTTCTCTTGTTAAATATAGGGGTCTTCTTTTTTGGATAAATTTGAAATTGACTAGTCTCTTGGGAAAAGTTACACGTAAATGTATAGATTCTGATTGAAGAACTCAGAGATTTTGTTAGGATCAATTTTTAAAAAAAATTGTTTGAAACTGAAAATTCAGTATTGAAGTGGCTTCATTTTATAATAAAATCACAAGAAATGCACACCAGAGGAAGTAATATACATGTATTTAAAGATAATATTTTTATTTTTAGACTTTCAGTGCAGAGGACCAGAGTCAGGCTTACAAGTATCTAGCTAACTACCACCTACAAAGAAACAACCTAGACGACGCCTACTCTGCCGCCCAGAAGTGTACAGAGTTCCCAGAGGTTTGTTTGATATTTTATACTGTCATAATCTTGAGAACAACTATATGTAGTCACTACATTTGTTCCTTCGTAAGTTACCAAAGAACTGCAAATATTAAATCGAGGTTTACGTCTACATTTTACACACATAGTTCTCAATACATCTTGCTTTGTTATTAAAGGTTTTTTTTTTTAAAGCTAAGAAGTCTTAATATTGCTCTTGATAAGAGAGAGTGAAATTTAGTTTGAAGTAAGGCTTGAAAATGTCACCAAATTTTAAAATACTGAAGGATATGGATAAATGACCACTTAAATCTTTGATTATGTTGAATTTATGTAAAGCTTACTATATCTAATTCTGTTTGTAAAATTTTGCAGTTGTTTCTCTTTGAAATTGATCATGAAATGAACATTTTTAGTGTGTTTTGGTCAGTAAACATGTTCCCCCCAAATAACAATTTTTATTACATGTAAAAAGATTTTTTGTTTCCAAAGGGGAGGGAGGGGGAGATGTTTTTAAAAATATTTTTTGTTTTCCATTGATTTCTACTGTAAAAACACGAGGTTTCCAAAATAATAAATTTATCTCTGTTTTGCCAAGTAAGTCAAATTTTATTTAAAATTCCTATAAATTTGTACATAAATATTTAAAAAAATCATTTAAATATGATAACTTTTGAAAATGGACGTATTTTTGACTGAAACAGAGATATAAAGGAAAAAGTTTAGTAGTTCTGTTAAATCATGTCTCTATTAAGTCTTTAACTCTTTCCTAGTCAGCTCTTTTGACAAATCTTTAAAAAAAAAATATTGTTTAAAAAATGAATTCTACTTGTATAATTTTAAACTACAGAGGAGGGAGGAAGCCAAGGGAATATTAAAAGACATCCAGAACAGACGGGCCAAGAAGGAGGGGGCGTACACTCACCCTGTCAGAATGGACGATAGCCTGGGGTCAATCTGTCCTGACCCCCTCAATGTCAGCACCAGGACCCCGTCTGTCTGTCTGTCCCCTGTCAATCTTAAGTTTGACATTGGGGATGACTGACACTGGATTTTAACACCTCTATAGTTGTTTATACATGTACAGTTACTGAGGATAGGGTGTCTCTGGGAGAAGTTGGACATTGACAAGTGGGCTCACAACATAGTCTATAGATATAGGTGAACGTTGTGTGGTATTAGTTTACCAATACTCAAGATCAACTGACTATTTTTGACTCTCTGTGTAAAAGATCTATGTGGATTAAACATACAACTATTTCTCCAATATGTTTGTGAAGACTAGCACCCACAAGTACTTCTCAGTAGTGATAGTTAAATGACAAATAAGATTCTATTGGGATGCAGTACGTCATGAGGAAGACCAGATATATGTATATAGACAGCTTCTGCAGAAATCAGATGATACCATTATATGACAGAATGTATCAAAATTTGAATCATTTCATGTCAAGACAATTTTTTGTCATATGGATCTGCATAAGAAATGAAAGATAATTTATAAGTGATCCCCTAAAAGCTTTGTTATTGTTGAATAATAAAACAGTTCTAATGGGTTATACTGACTACTGGTAGATTTGAACCAGTGATCTCTGATTACTCTCCAAACACCATTGACCACATGCTCCACAATTCTCCCTCGTTCCAAGGTTAATTTTCATGTTCAGTTAAAAAAAACTTAAGGAAAAACAATTATCCAGTATTTTAAGCAAGAGGCCCATGGGCCTTAAACATCACCTGAATACCATTCAACATATATTTTTAGGTATACTACCTGAATATAAACTCCAGACCTGTATGTGTTAAAAAAAGTAGCCCATCCCTCAGGATCTGAAAATCGGCAGTTAAAACCTGCCAACCATTGTGATTTTGGGGTATTTATATAAGTTAACATTGGAAATCAAGCTGTTTAACACTTTCAATACTTAAACTCCGATTTTGAACAAACTTTGGAATTTTTAGCATTCTTAGTACAATGTTCAGTTTGTTTTTAATTTGAGTAATCTGAAGTCATTGTATAGCAACATTTTTTAAAAACAAAATGTTTGGAAGATTAAAGATTGCTTTCCATCAAATTGGTAAAGAAAAGTGTTGCAATTAATTACCTTCAGTCCTAAATCTTGAGTCATGCAATCTTATAAAATATTTTCTCTCAAATACTATAAGGAATGGGTTTCATAATTTGGTTAAAGCTAAACAGGACTCATAAGTAGCCATTATCCATATTAATTTTCCTATCTCCAATATCAGCACTGGGGTAAACCCTTAGCATTAGTTACACCTGATTGCTGTCTGGCCACAGGTACCTGCATGGATTGAGTGTAGCCACATTGATCATCTTCCATGGCCTTTGTTTACATTTTTTTCTCTGTGTTTATACTGAACTGACCAATGCAGTTGATGCATGGAACTGATGATTGAACTGATGATTGTAAAATTCTTGAGTAATTATGACATTTAGATGGTAGAACTTTTGTTTAACACATTTCTTTATTATCAATACTACTAATTAAGTAACTATGTTCAATGTGTCACTAAAATTTTACATGCATTTGTTTTTTTGAACAGTATATAAACATCTTCTATTCATCGTACAAAAATCAATTGTATACATCTAAATGTATTTGTATATAACCATTGTGTTTTATGACACAGAGTACAAATCACTTGAGATACGTGTAAACTGTAAGTGTGTTGGTGTCTAGTTGTCCAACAAACAGGTTGTTCTCGTCATCCACACACAAGCTACAAGCCTTAGGATGCTTCACCCAATGTTGTTGTGTGAGTAGTAGAGACAAGAACTGACCGTCCTGATCGAGAAGGTGAACAGTTTCACTGTATCTATCACACACCAGGATGTGACAGAAAACATCAGTACATATTCCAAAGGGAGAGAACTTTGACTCATGACCTGTGTAGGAGAATCTGTGTTGTCCTGATTTATTTACCACCACTACTGATTTTTTTTCCCAGTCTGATGTACAGATATCTCCATTGATATTTTCAGTGATATATGTTGGTACACCATACAGTCCCTGTCCTTTGTTATCCCTCTGTATGTTCTGTACTTCTTTTCCTGTCTTGCTGTACCTCGTGACCCTGGCTTCCTTGTCTTTCCACATGCCCACCAGTAAGTCCCCATTGATGATGGAGGAGTGTATGCTGTAGGGTTCCCAGTCTCCAGTTTTAAGGAATTCTGTAATATTGTTATCCTTTGTTACCTTATTGATGAGTTTTTTGTTTCCATCAGTATAGAGCATATCCCCCTCCTGTGTGACTGTGTGGTAGCCTTCCATTCCTCCACTGGTTTTTATTTTCTGTATCATATTGCCCTGTAGATCTGCTTGGACAAGAACACCATTATCATTACTGATCCAGAGTTTGTCTGACTGACCCAGTGATATATGGTATACATTACTAACACCTGGTACATTTAACTCCCTCACCTTGTTGACAGATCTGGCAGATAGATGTTTCTTGTCCGATTTCACCTGTTTATCTTGTTTTGACTGTTCACTTGCAGATTTTATTGATGAAGAAGAAGGAGCTATTTCCATTGGCTTTACTCTTCTAGCCTCTCTCTTTCTATCTGTTACAGTTATTTTTCCGAGTAAACTGGCAACATCATTCTCAGTGTATTGAGCAGAAAAAAATTCTGGTTTGATAGGTTTTGTGGTTTCTGGTATGGATTTTATTTCCAAGTTCTCGGGAAGTATGCTTGTGAATTTTGTGAGCTCAGTAGATGCCAGGTAGCTCTGGTACTCCTTCACAAGGTCACTGAGATAAGCAATGTAATTATTATATGTCTTCTCTTGGCTCTTCAAATCCTCCAGCACAGACTGTTCTATCTGATCTAATTCTTCCATATTGTCTGAAAGTACAGTGTCCACTATGCTTTTGAGAATCTCTGCTTCTGCCTTCATGGATGTTCGTATGATGTCTGTGATATTTTTAATTTCAGTAACATCTTCCCTCACTTGGCTTAGTACATCCTGTGCAGTTGGAATGAAATAATTATAAATTTTGGAGATTTCCTTTTGGCAGAGTTTAAATTTATCTGTGTAGACCATTTCTAAATCAAAAAATTGATGACCCCTGTGCTCTTGCATTGTTGAACACTTCGAACATAAAGGAACATTGCATTCTTCACATAAAATATCTATTTCTTTGGTTGGGTGAATCTTGCATTTTTCCACTGGAAGTTGTCGTTTACGTTGCTGGTATAGGACTACCTCATGGTTCTGGTTTTCTTGAATTTTCAAATGGAGGTCTCTGCAATTTTTACACATGCCATGATGACAGGAGTTACAGTAGAATTCACAATTTTTCTCACAATCTTCGGTACCACACTCTAGAAAGTGTTGGGGAGTTCCTTGCATTATTGGTTTGGAAAGCGCCATCTACATTTAAAATCAACATTTAAATGCCTTAAGCATTTACCTTTAGAAACTGTTTTGCATGGTGAATTAACATAAAGTTATCTGAACTATATGCAAGCAACTGGGAATGTTCTGTTTCATAGTCAGACTGAATTTTTCAATAAATGATTGAAATTTATAACCTCTTCTGTCGTAATATCTTGGCTTACCTTTGAGAAATAGAACTTGAATAGCTTAAATGGCAAGAAAATTTCAAATTAATATGTGTAGTCTCTGTACATACCTGTACTTGTTTTTTGTGTGAAAGATCCTTGAATGCTTGAATGCTCCTTGAATGGAATGTAGTAGAGATTTCAGTGAAACTTGATGAGACCTGCAATTTACCTCAAGGTTGGACGTAAATAGATTTCAATTCTCACTCAAATATTGAACTGGCTTGTACTGTTACTGTCAATCAAAAAATTAAGTTACCTGCAGAAAAAGCTTGAGGTCATAAAATGAAAATATGTTCAGTCATTCTACAAAAACACGACCTATTAAGAATTTTTTATGTCGCTTACAAATTTACCATTGTAATATCATAACTATAAATTTAAAAGTCGATTTCAACTCTAAGACTTAACATACACACATGGTTTTGTAAATATTCACTGATATATATGCAATTCAAGTTTTTATATGAACATAATGTGACGTTGAAAAGCGTGAAAAGTTAAATACACTGATAGATGAAGCTTTGTTGCCCTAAATCAAGAGAAGTAGGAAGATCAGGATCAACAAAATAATTAGTCTAGTATTCAGTATCAACTCATAAATTAAGTTCTAATCTGTCCCCCACCTAACACTATCACCATGCAGACTATTAACAAACTATTAGTGCTTCTGTACCATTTTTAAACCCATATTAAGACCTCTAGCATTGACCTCTCTTATGGTCTTTGAAGAACTTTTAATAAGAAAAGTTATTTTTGTCTCATTTTTACTTATCTATTACTTACAGGTCTACCTGATTATTAAAACTAAGAAAGTACTTTTTGAATTATATGATAAACATTCTTGCATAATTATCTTATTCTATTAACCTTTCAAATACATTATTTAGAGTGATTAATTATCAAAGGTGAATGGCAAAGGGGAATAACTTCTCTCAGTAGAATAAAAATTAATAGAGCCCTGCCCAGGACAAGAATGCTTAGACAAATGGTCCAGATGTTCAAAAATCTGATAGAAATACGCTTACTTATATCATTTAAACTTTCACTCAGTTTGCTTCCGATATGCCCAGAAGCAGAGAAGAATTTCACAGGTACAATGCATTTTCATTACAGATTCAAAAAAGCCTTACCCTAACACCAGAACCCAAGACCAAGGGTCAAGAAATTTACAAATTTGGAAGAGTTACCCTCTTCAACATAACTATGGACTTCAAAGAATTAACACTTTTCCACTATATTATCAAAAGCCCCCACCCCCCCTCGTTATGCCAGAACCCCTGACCCTAGGACCACAAGATTAAAAAATTCTGTTCGAAGCTCCCATTTTCATCATGGCTAAGCAATTTATTTATCAGCTCAACACTAAGGAGCAGACAGGATTCATTAATGATTTATTAATAGAATTAATGCTTTTTCACTATATAAGTAATAGAGCCCCCCCCCCCCCCTCCTCAAGAACCCCAAAAACTGAGGCCATATATTTAAAAATTTTGGAAGAGGCATCCTTGCCTATCATAATCATGCACTTAGTTTGTTTAAATAATCTCCAGTAGCAGAGAAGAAGATTTTCAAAGAATCAGTGCATTTTCACTATATAATCAATAGAGCCCTGCCCTAACACCAGAACCCCTGACCCTGGGGCCATGAAATTCACAATTTTTGAAAAGGCATCCTTATGCATCATAACCATGCACTTAGTTTGTTTAAATAATACCCAGGAGCAGAGAAGAAGATTTTCAAAGAATTAATGCATTTTCACTATATAATCAATGGAGCCCCGCCCTAACACAAGAGCCCCTGACCCTGGGGCCTTGAAATTCACAATTTTTGAAAAGGCACTTTTGCTCATCATAACTATGTACTTAGTTACTTTATTTAATACCCAGGAGCAGAGAAGAAGATTTTCAAAGAATTAATGCTTTTTCACTATATAATCTATAGAGCCCCACCCTAACACCAGAACCCCTGACCCTGGGGCCATGAAATTCACAACTTCGGAAGAGGCACTCTTGCTCATCATAACTATGTACTTAGTTACTTTATTTAATACCCAGGAGCAGAGAAGAAGATTTTCAAAAAAATAATGCATTTTCACTATATAATCAATAGAGCTCCGCCCTAACACCAGAACCCCTGACCCTGGGGCCGTGAAATTCACAATTTTGGTAGAAGCACTCTTGCTTATCACAACTATGTACTTAGATACTTTATTTAATACCCAGGAGCAGAGAAGAAGATTTTCAAAGAATTAATGCATTTTCACTATATAATCAATAGAGCCTCGCCCTTACACCAGAACCCCAGATCCTGGGGCCATGAATTTCACAATTTTGGAAGAGGCATTCTTGCTCATCATAACTATGTACTTAGTTACTTTATTTAACACCCAGGAGTAGAGAAGAAGATTTTCAAAGAAATAATGCACTTTCACTAAATGATCTATATAGCCCCACCCTGGGGCCAGAACCCCTAACCCTGGGGCCATGAATTTTACAATTTTGGTAGAGGGTTCAATGCTTATTACAATGATGCCAACAGTTTGAGTGCTTGATGTCCAGGTGTAAAGAAGAAGATTTTTAAAGATTGCATTATTTTTGGTGGTTTTAGCCCCACCCCTCAGGCCCCAGGGGGGCAGGGACCATGAATTTCACAATTTTTGTTCCCCTTCACCCATAGATGCTATATGCCAAATTTGGTTGAAATCAAATGTTAACACACGACGCATGCCAACGGACGAGAACGGATAGCAATAGGTCACCTGAGTGACTCAGGTGACCTAAAAAGAAATCAAACCACTTCTCGCAAAGAAATGCATGGATCTCCTTTCATGCGAATTCATAAGCATGTCGCTTAAAATCAATTAACTTCCGTAAGGATTTTGTTTTAAATTTCACGCATAGAATGCAGATTTCAAAAAGAATTGAAACTTATCTGAAAGTGACCATGGAACCTAATATCATCGATTCTAGTTGTGAGATCGCTTTTTTAGACGATTACATTTTCGACATAACAAAATGAGTTAGACAAAAACAGTTGTCTCTCTTAATAATTTAAAGGTAATTCAGGAAAGTTGCATTAAAGGTATAAAATTTCTTATTATTTTGGGAGCGAAATGCTTCATACTTTTGTTTAATATCCTAAAACAAACTTTGATTTTAACTATTGAAGAGAATTTTAACTTTTATTGCTGGGAATTAACTTCCGTAATGATATTTTTCCCGAAAATTTAATTTAAATTCGGATTCATGCGAGACTTCATGAATCATGCTTTAGCGTTCTTTACTGAACATCAGAAACAAAAATTGGTCAAATTCAGCTTTATTTAAAAAATAATAAGGCTTGATCAAGCATTAACTTCTGTAACATTACCTTAAAATCAATGGTATCTTGAAATTGTTGTAAAAAGTTAAGATACCAGATTTGTGGACAATTCTTTCTTTTCAAGTTCACTGATATGTCCTTTAGAGAATTATGATGTTCATTTTGCTATTTGAAACAATTATTTTTTTCATGTTTTTTTTACTCTGAATTGGTCCATTTATCGTAGAATGATTGATTATCTGTAGTGGTATCCTCCTTTATTACATTTTCTTCTCAGTGTTAAGTGAGAGTCATCTAAGAATTATTTTGTGAACCTCATCAAGTAATGTTTTAATATGTTTTAATGTTTCTCCATAAATATAAACTTGCAAAATTAATGCAAGTTTACAAGAAATCTCAGTAGAATTAACGAGCCTGTCATTTTGTCTGGCCCAGTGCTTCTTAAGGTGATTTTTGAAGATTTTTTTCAATGTCTTAATCCCCTATTGTAGCCCCACCCTATCCCCAGGGACCATAATTTAAACAATTTAGAATTTACTACGAGAAAGATTTTACACGTTTTATCTTTTCTGCTCCAGTGCTTCTTGAGATTTTTCCTATATATTCCTAGGTAAAACTTTGATCTCCTATTGCGACCCCACCCTATCTCCAAGGGCCATGATTCGAACAACTCAAAAAGAAGCTTTCATGTACATTTCATCTTAGTGAAGCTTAGTGATTCTTGAGATTTTTAAATGACCCTAATTTTTTTCTCAATTATTTTCTGTTGGGAGGGAGCATTGCCCTTCATATGAACAATTTTGAATCCTACCACCACCACCCAAAGATCATGCTAATTTTGGTTGAAATTGGCCAAGTGATTCTAGAGAAGAATTTAACAAGAGGCCCAAGGGCCTTAACGGTCACCTGAGTATGCAATGATCCATAGATTAAACAAAATAAGCTGATAAATAAAGCTATGTTGCCCAAAAGCAAGAGAAAAGGGATCACCAAAATATTAATTTAGTACTCAATAGCAAATCTTAAAAGTTGATCTATTTATTTGCCTGTACTTCCCCCCATTTGTTACTACCCTCATGCAGACTAAACAAAACAATAGGTCTAGAGCACTATCAGTTAGCACATTTCATTCCCCCTCACATTGGCCTCTCTTGGTCTTTAAAGATGATTTATTGTACAAAGATATGGTATTTTTGTACCATTTTCCATTATCTATTATTTAAAAATTTTCCTGACCTTTAAAAACTATGAAAGTACTTTTGTATTAAATATAATAAAATTTCTTGTATCATTCTGTTATTCAATTAACCTTTTAAGTTATATTATTTACAGTGATTAACTATTATAGGTGAATACCAAAGGGGAATAACTTCTTTCTGTAGAAATTAATAAATTGACCATAGGGTACAGAATTTCAAAATCTGGTAAAACACCCCTGCTTATTACAACTTTAAATACTCTATTTGCCTCCTAGATGCCTAGGAGCAGATAAGATTTTCAAGGAAATAATCCATTTTCACTAAAGATTCAATATAGCCCCACCCTAATACCAAAGCCCCTGACCCAGGGGCCAAGATAATCATAATTTTGAAAGAGTTGCCCTTGCTCATCATAAGTATATACTTGGTTTATCTGCTAAATACCCAGGGACAGAGAAGTAGTTTTCAAAGAAATAATGCACTTTCACTACATAATCAAAAGAGCCCTGCCCTACAATGTAACACCAGGACCCTTGACCCTGGGGCCACAAATTTCACAATTTTGGAAGAGGTGCCCTTGCTCATCATAACTATATATTTGTTTTATCTCCTTAATACCTAGGAGCAGAGATGAAGATTTTCAAAGAAATAATGCACTTTCACTATATAATAAATAGAGTCCCCCCCCCCTTCCACAGAACCCCTCACCCTGGAGCCACAAATTTCACAATTTTGGAAAAAGGCACCCTTGTTCATCATAACCTTGTACTAATATATCTTCTTTATATACAGGAGAGAAGATTTTTATAGAATTTATGCATTTTCACTATATGATCAATAGAGCCCTGCCCTAACACCTTAACCCCTGACCCAGGGGCCATGAAATTCACAATTTGGGAAGAGGCACCCTTGATCATCATAACCATGCACCTAGTTTATCTTCTTTTTATAGGTAGAGAAGAAGATTTTCAAAGAATTAATGCATTTTCACTATATAAATCATAAGAGCCAGACCCTAACACTAGAACCCCTGACCCAGGGGCCATGAAATTTCACAATTTTGGACGAGGCCCCCTTCCTCATCATAACAATGTGCATGTACTTAGTTCATCAGCTTAATACCCAGGAGCAGAGGAGATTTTCAAAGAAATAATGCATTTTCACTATATAATCAATAGAGCCCCACCCTAATACCAGAACCCCTGACCCAGGGGCCATGAAATTCACAATTTGGGAAGAGACAACCTTCCTCATCATAACTATGCATTTGATTTGTTTGCATAATACCCAGGAGCAGAGTAGAAGAATTTCAAAGAAATAATGCATTTTCACTATATATTCAACAGTGCCCCACCCTAGCACTAGAACCCCTGACCTGGGGCTATGAATTTCATAATACTGGTAGAGGGCTCAATCCTTATTACAATCATGCCAACAGTTTGACTGCTTGATGTCCAGGAGTAATGAAGAAGACTCTTAAAGATTGCATTAATTTTAGTGGTTTTGGCCCTACCCCTCAGGCTCCAGGGGGGCAGGGTCCATGAAATTCAAAATTTTTGTACCCCTTCACCCATAGATGCTATATGCCAAAATTGGTTGAAATTGGTTGAGCGGTTTCAGAAAAGAAACTAAAAATGTTCAAATGTTAACTCACATCGCACGATGCACGACGACGGACGAAAACAAATAGCAATAAGTCACCTGAGTTTACTCAGGTGACCTAAAAATACAGTTGAACTTCGGTATCTCTAACACTGATATCTCAAATACCATGGAAACGTCGAAGTGATTTGGAAGTCCCAACCACAATCTTTAAGTATTTTGCCCTGGATATCCCGAATCCTCAGATATCTCAAAGTTTATTCTTGGTCCCATGGAGTTTGAGATAATGAGGTTTGACTATATACATGTACCAAATGGGTTAAAAAAAGAAAAAAAATCCTCATTGGGGGATTACATCCTGATCTGGATCTGTCTCCAACCTAAATGTGTATTTATTATCAAAATAAACTTTTAAGATGTTTGAAGTGATCTAGAAGGCTTTTGTATTACGCTGATCAAAGCAACATATGATCAAGATAAGCAAGTATGAAGCATTCATTAATTTATTAAATATTGGATCATATGTCCAGAATAAAATACATTTAGGTCTGTAATGAATACCAGATATACTCCTAGCAAAGGGAATGCCCATGTCTAATTTATTAATGCTTAACAGCACTATCAAGAACAGACAACTCTTGACATATTACTTGACTCCCCCACCACTGAACAAAATGGCACAAATACAATTTTTCTCAAATGACAAGACAAAGAGATATTAGGAGTCTGTATTATCTAAAAAATAGAGATTTCTAGACTTCAAAATCACTCCCTAATTTGTGATCTAGCTAAGAGTTAGTGGTAATTACTTAAATATCAATATGACATAAGGCATTAAAACATGTACAATTATCCCTATTAGATTTTCTAACTATAAGTGTCAGGCATTTCACTGACAAAGTCAATATCACAGACAAGAATTCCACAAGGAACAAATAAGTGGCTGCCATTTTATCTCAAGGTTGCACTCTTTTTCAACACATGTCTTTGTATTCTCTGAAATTACAAATATATAACAATATTCACAGATGTAAAATTGATACATGTATGTGTTAGACTGAATTACTAATTTTAATATACTGCAAGATGCAGTCACACTTATTAAGAAAGTAAAATTTCATGAAAGATTTAAACTGATTTTGAGCCATATCCAATGCAAATGGAAATATTTGCATCCTTAGTAATTTAATAATCATGTCTATTTGACAGAGTTGTCTTACCCTGTTGAACACCTTGGCTTTCAATCTGTTCAATGCGTAATCTTCCTGTCGTTTTTCTTGTTTCTTTTTCTCAACAACCTCAGCAAGTTTTTTGTATGACCTATCATAAAAAAAATTCATGCATCAAGTGGATACTCTTTCAATACCAACTGCAAAATTGTAAAAAATCAGGAAGAAAGGTTATTTTGTTTTAAAGATGAAACAAAACAAACAGGTGTATTTCAATGATACAAAGTAACATGGACTGTAAACGATACGCATATATAAGGACACAAAGTACACACACTCTAGCCTTGATAGCATCACCTATCTCTGTCTCGCTTTACTCACTTTTTAGTACGTTCTTTCATTTCTTGCTTAGTGAGGGATCTTCTCTTTGGAACATGGAGATTTTCTAAGAAAACAAGACATATCAACTTCAAGCAGTTTGATAATTAATAATCAGGGTTATACATGTTCATGTAATGCAATATTTCTAAATATATGTACACAAATTCATTGAAGACATCAACATTTTTACAACAATCATAGGGAAAATAAGAATGTCATAGCAACAGTGACCCTCACCCTGTCCTAACTGTACAGTTAGCTGTACTCACCACTGTACGGGTGACCGTCATCCTGTCCTAACTATACAGTTAGCTGTACTCACCACTGTACGGGTGACCATCACGCTGTCCTAACTGTACAGTTATCTGTACTCACCACTCTACGGGTGAGCGTCACACTGTCCTAACTGTACAGTTATCTGTACTCACCACTGTACGGGTGACCGTCACGCTGTCCTAACTGTACAGTTATCTATACTCACCACTGTACGGGTGAGCGTCACGCTGTCCTAACTGTACAGTTATCTGTACTCACCACTCTACGGGTGAGCATCACGCTGTCCTAACTGTACAGTTAGCTGTACTCACCACTGTACGGGTGAGCGTCACGCTGTCCTAACTGTACAGTTATCTGTACTCACCACTGTACGGGTGAGCGTCACACTGTCCTTACTGTACAGTTATCTGTACTCACCACTGTACGGGTGAGCGTCACACTGTCCTAACTGTACAGTTATCTGTACTCACCACTGTACGGGTGAGCGTCACACTGTCCTAACTGTACAGTTATCTGTACTCACCACTGTACGGGTGACCGTCACACAGTCCTAACTGTACAGTTATCTGTACTCACCACTATACGGATGAGCATCAGGATTGGCTTCTTTCTTTTTCTGCTCGGCAAACAGTCGTTCTCTTTCTGCCTCCATGGCTGTCACCAGTCTTCGTTCCTCTGTTGCAAGGGTTACTCGTTTCTGGCGCTCACGGACTCGGGAAATTGTGTTTTGTTTGTAGAGCTTAAAGGCCTCCTAAGAATAAAAAAAATTGAATTAAAATAAAAATTTATAGACCTTTTGCATATTTATGTATGTAAAATGACAAGATACTTAAATAATGAACAAATTTTGATTATAGAAGATGCTTTTTTTTTTCATCATGTACCAAAGATGAGATTTCATTCTGCTCTTTTTCAATAAAAAATGATACGATGATTAATGAGCTCAATATCTGCCATTATCATATCATCATGTGTCTTACTTGTAAAGACATTTTGTTGAGGGGTTTGGACTCTGAATTATCTTCGTCCGACTCCTCCATTGTATTCTCCTTGTTCTCAATCGGTTCTCCTTCAGGGTTCAAATCAAACTTTGTGTCACGTGATTTGTTCATGATGTCCGAGTTCACGATGTTCTTCCACTGGGTGGAGCTGACATTCTTTGGTTGCCATGGTTCATTGCGCACGGCATGAGCCTGTTGTTCTTTAAGTGGCTTTCTCCAAGGTTTGACCTCCTTATCCATGGGGATGTACCAAGCCATGCCTCCTATAAACAAATTCATAAATAACATACAATCATCCCTACTTTTTTTTTTTTTTTTTTTTTACAAAAATCACCCTACTTTTCTTTTGAAAACATGCCTTGAATACTTAAAGTTTTGAAATTAAGATTTTTTTCTGTTATATTTTCTTTGATACAGTGGTATAACTAACTTACTTGGACTGTCCCTCATTTTGGCGGTGTACTCATCCTCGGGGGTCTCGGGGGTAAACATTTTATTTTTGGGAGGTGTCTTCATTGTAAATTTCTCATACTCTGAGTCTGACTCTGGAACAAACATCTTGGATCTGGCAGGAGAAGTTGACCCAGTTCTCTGACGACTTGTGAATTGTGTCACAGGAGAAGCTGACTTGACTCTCTGTTGACCAGACGACTTTGATGAGGGTGACTTTGCTCTAGGAGGGGTATACGACCGATGAATCAGATTTGACCTGTCTGGGGACCACTCCTGATGTGACCCTCTCTGGTGGTGATGCTTTCCCTCCCTAGATGAGTGAGATGATCTGGATTTCCTCTGACTCTCTGGTGACATAAGGGGGACAGGAATGACCATGGTGTTGCTGTAGGACGGGGAAGCATTCCTCCCCGTTGTCTGTACAGCCTCAGACTTCATTGCTACCTCCTTAGGTCTTCTCCTCATTGTTGGAGGACTGACTACAATTGGGGAGGGATACATAGTACCAATGTCTCTCAATTTCCTACTCCTAACAGGGGATGTCTCCAAATGAAATTTCTCTCTGGCTGGAGATGACTCCCTCTCTCGATGTTTCTTGCGATCTCTTGACCTGTGCCCTGCTTCATCATTCAATTTATCTTTCTTTTGCTTTGTCTTTGGTTTACGGATTACAATAATATCACTCTGGGATTCAGAATCTTCTAGAAGAATGGCAGCAGATGACGATTTCTGGAAGTCCCTATTGTCTTTAGATTTCCTGATACGAGTTCTCTGCAGCTCTATGCTGCTGTCTTTGGATGAAGTTGAATCAAGAACTGGCCGGGTGGAATCACCTGAATCCTCCATCAGAGTGGAATCTGAATGTAGGAAGGTGGATGACTCATCTGACAGTGGAACAGAGGTTGTGGACACATTCTCCAGCTCAGCAGAGATTGCCTTATCAGAAAGCTTCCCTTTCTTCTTAGCTCCCAGTAACATCTCCAGCTTCTTCAGTTTCTCCACTCTTTTCATCTCCTTTCTTCTCTCCACATCAATCTTATTCTTCTGAGTCTCCACCTTTTCTTTCAGTTTCACCATTAGAGGATCAATCACATTCTTCTGCCTGTGCTTCTTGGCTTTCTTCTGGGACTCTGTCAGCACATTAGGTGATGTTCCTCTACTGGACTCGAAGCTTGTATCCTCTGGGATGGAGTACAATGTATCAGCACTCTCACACTTCTTCACCTCTTGAACCCTGACACTTTTACCTCCCTTCATCTTATTTTCCTTATTCTTCTGCTTCTTTTCTGTTCCTGCTGTTTTCTTCTGCTTTGCCAGGATTTCTGCGTAGCTGCCGTTACTCTTGTCTTCACTCAGTGTCTGTCGTCTCTTCTGCTTCTCCATCCTCCACTTCTCTCCATCTCTTGACCTGCTGTCCCCTTCCTTACTCTGTGTTCCTCTCTCCATGTCTGCCAGCTCCTGTACAACCCTCCTCTCCTTGACCTTTTGGTATGTCCGGTCATCCAGTGCCCTCTGTACGACATGCTTTGTTGGGTTCCGCAGCAGACTGGTCAGGGTTTCAATCCGCGATGTATTCATGCTGCTGTCACTTTGTGTCTCGTTCATCTCCTGGAATTTCTTCCACAGGTCATTGATGTTGGCAGGAAGAGATGGATCTCTATCCCTCTCGAGGGTTTCTCTAAGGGCCTGGGCTTTCTTACTGGGTGGGATGCTGTCAAATTCAGCCCCAAATTCCTTCTCCTCTTCCTCAGATAAAATGTGGCCTTTAGGTCTCTTCATTCTATGATAAAATCAAATATTAATATTAAATTTAATTTTTTAAAAGTGAGTTATCTATATTTTCATGATAAAATAATAAGTTTAAAATACACTAACTTTCTCATTAGCTCTAGCTCTTTCTTTGCCTTTAACCTCTCTGTCCTCACCATGTCTTCAAACTCTTCATCTGGAACCTTGATAGAATATAAAAAAAAAAGTGGCATAGAAAAAAAATTGAATGGAAATTTTCTTGAGTGCCTCTAAGTCTTTATACTTCAGAAATACATATAATGATATATACATGTACTTATTTTTATAGAGCAAAAACAAAAACTTACCTGTGGTAGTTCAGTGAAAATTTCCCCATCTACCAGATATTCCCTCAGCTCTCTCTCACTGCTTCTGTTGGCTGGTGACCTTGACCTATTCAGTCTCTCAGATGACCTTTCCCTTGACCTTTGACCCTCAGATCTTCTCTCATCAGACCAATCTCTCCTTGTTTCTTTGTCTATGGCCCGTGGTATAAACATGTCCAAATAATCCTGGCCCCTGTCCAGAGACCACCCCCTCTCTCTTTCAATGTAATCATGTTTGTCGACCTTTGACCCTCTCTGGTCAGCTGACACATCATCTAGTGCTTGCCTGGTTCCAGTCTCTAGGAAATCAGCTGAAGAAGACTTGTAAGATTCATGGTCTGTAGCAGATTTTTGTTGGTAAATGTCACTTCCAGATCTGTAGGGTACGTCAGTGGCCATGTCCAATGGGTGACTGTTTAGACCTCTCCCTGGCTCTAGGGGCCGAGTTAATAGATCTTCACTCCCTAACCTGTATGGAAGGTCACCTCCAGTTTCCAAAGATCTGCTTTCCAAGCCATGACCAGGTTCTAGTGGAGAAACTCTCTTGTATTCCTTATCGCTGTCACTGCGTCCACTGTAAAAGCCTGATGATTCCACTGGAGCTCTTGACTGATACAGATCAGTCCCTGGTTCAAGTGGTCGACTCTCAAATGACATAGGTCTGTCTGGTGCAATGTAATCATTAGATACAATCTCTGCTGGACGAGTGCTGTAGCTACTCTCCACTGGAGGAGGATAAACAAATTTTGAAGGAATTTCTATATCCTGTCGTCTGTCGAATCTTGTATTATCATCCTCCATGGGCCTTGAATAAGCTGATGTTCTTGGAATGTCTACATCCTGTAACCTGTCAGACCTTGAGCCAACATTTCCTCTGGATGGGTAATGAGATGGTCGAGTTGAAGCAGCACTAATTGTGTACCCATCTCTCCCTAGCTCTGTGGATCTGGGTCTGGAGTCATAGTCTAGCGAATCCCTGCCTGGCTCAAGTGGCCGACTCTGGTACTGCTTCATGATATCTCCCAAATGGTCATACTGGTTAGGTGTGGCTCGGTCTGGTTTGTCTTCTTTCTTGGCATAGTCATAGATTTCTTCTTCCTGTGGTCTGGATCTGACATATTCAGGCTGAATTTCTTCTGGCCTTTTTACACCAAGTGGCTCTTTTTCTTCCAAGCTTTTTCTTCCTACATCTTCAGTGAGCATCCTATCATCACCTGACCTCCTTTCTAATGGACTCCTATCCTCTCTGTCTCTCCTCCTCTCATTTATATCATCCCCTGGTCTTCTGCTTCCATAATCTTCTCTTCTCAACTCTTCTTGAGGTCGTCTACCTTGTACATCAGCCCCTCTACTGTACCCCTCATCTGGAGATCTCCTACTTCCAAAATCTTCTCTTCTCCTACTCTCTTCTTGAGGTTGTCTACTCTGTGCATCAGCTCCTCTGCTATAGTCATCATCTGCTGGTCTTCTGCTTCTATAATCCTCTCTTCTCCTTACCTCTTCTTGAGGTTGTCTACTTTGTACATTAGCTCTACTATACTCATCCTCTACTGGTCTCCTAGATGAATATGGAACATCTCTCACCATGGGTCTTCTATCAGATTCTCTAAATGAATTCCCTTTCCTTTCATCAGCATCTAATGAGTCACCATTGCTTTCAGGTCCAAATACCTGATTTAGAATTCTGTCTGCCTCATTCAACTGTCTCACAGCTCCTTGAAATGCAGGTGAGATGAGGGAATTAGGATAAGACAAGATGGGTGATGGCTGGGCAGACATATCCATCAGTCTTCCCCGGGAGGCTGGAGAGGACGAAATCTGCTTTCCTTCAGGACTCATTGTCACAAGGTCAGTTTCTGACCTTGACTTACTTTTAACAAGGTTATCACTGCTGGTCTCCCTACTGCTGTGTGCCTGTTGACCCGAAATTGTTGAAACATCACGCACACGTCGGGGAGTAGCAAACTGGTCACCAGGATCTGATCGTGTTGTCATAGACATCCTACTTTCTTCATAGAAATTATCAAAATTACGACCTCCTTCAGAGCTATGAGGATGACTGGAATGGAGTCCAGTGGACTGGTCATGACTATGTAGATGATCACTAGCTCTTGATGAACCACTCCTGTTGGAGAAGTGATCACTACCAACAGATGGTGCTCTGTCTGTTGCCATGGGAACCCTAGAGCTGTGTTCTAAACCACTATCCCGTTTGTAAAGGTCACTTAAAGGATTGGCAAGGTCACCCAAAGCTCGCTCTCTGTCATCCTGGAAAAACATGTCAACTCATTAAGTTTGATTTATATGCAAAGCAACATTTTGATCAGATTTTAAATTCTTAGAGAGAATTTGTAGCTCAGGTTTTTGATCAACCCCATCTGAATTCCACAATTTATCCTGCATGAAAAATGCTTGGTTTCCTTCAAAGACATTATAAACTGTACTTATGTCTAAAATAAAAACTTACAGAAATGGATTTCTCCTCGATTGTTGACAGAGCATCCTCAACAACATCCAAATTACTCCGGTTGCCATAGATACCAGAGGATCTTGGACCATCTTGTCTGCTTCCTAGGTGTTGGGAAGGAATATAAGGGCCAACTGCATCATCAGAGCCTATTAAATACAACAACATAGTTATAGCATTCTCTGACAAAGAAATAGCATTAAAAGTGCTACATGTCTACAAGAAAATTGGTAATAGCTTTCTGTAGACTACTGTGTGGTTTCAGTTAATCCAACATGTGAAATTTTGTGTAGAAAAAGTGGTGATGATTGTGACAAATCCCTGATCAATTTACATAATTAGCCATTTTAGAATATTTCACTAATAATCTAACATCCGACAGGAAATCAAACCCTTCTTGTACACATGATTAGTCACAGATTACAGAATGTGTTAGATAAAGCAAAACTGATCTATTAATGGAGTTACAGCTGAAATCAAATCTCAAAGCTACATAATAAATTATTAGCACCAGGACAACAAGATTGTTAAAGTCACACTTGTTTACCTCGGATACGGGAAATTCTACTGCCCTGTAAAACTCGCCTGAGAGACACTGCAAGGGTGAGAGGATGAAAGTGAAAGTGAAAGTGTGGATTATTGTACATTACTGATTTTAGGGAAACTCACTAATTCACAGGCTCAGTTTGTTTTCTTTATAAAATAAATGTGTGTATTTGTAAGATATTTTGACTCATGCCATTTTTGGGAAACTCACTACCAAATTTACAGGCTGAGTTTTTCTTTATGAAATAAATGTGTGTAACATTTGTGAGATATTTCTATTTATGCCATTATTTCTGGGAAGTTACAATAAGGGTATATCAAGGGTGGATCCAGGATTTTTAAGTTGGGATTATAAATTATAAGAAATATCTTTGTTTGAGGACAACAGAAACAATTCTTGGATATTGATTTATCAACAGTTTCATGGCTATTTTCTGATAATCTTCTCAGGGTTACAAAAGTCATATATAATCATTATATTAAGTTTATTAAGTAATTCCTTAAACTTTCTGTGTTTTTTTTTTTTTTTTTGTTACTGGGTATTTATCTTTGGGTTTGTAAGGAGGGTGGGATGGGGAGGGGGGGGGGGTATCCTTATATTAACTCATGTACATAATGAAACAAACCAGAGACTCAAGAAAGTTACATGTATCTTTGGAATTTTATGTTTAGCTTTAACTACAGATAATCAGCTGCACAGAGAGAGAGGGAGCTGTAATTTCAGGATAAAATCATGCAAATAATGAAGCACTACAGATTATACATTTCCATGCATATGTCTATCATGCTGTAAACTAAGGATGACTTGGTGACCTTTGACCTGACCTGTGTGTGTACTTTCCAATGTAGTAACACTGTCAGCCACTGAATCGTCAGTCTCTGTGTAATATACCTCACGACTGCCAGGGGGCCTGTCAAAAGTCAAAATCTACAGTTTTATAAGTCTCTAAGGGAAAAAGTTCATATGTATTGTTACAATATTTTATATGTGACAAAACTTATAGCAAATTAAGGTTAAAAAAGTTATTTTCTATATATCATGTATTAAATTATTTGTTGGCACTTTGAACATAAAGGTATATCAATGTTGAATTTTAAAATTCTAAATGCAACTAATATTGAAAACACAACTAAAATGTACAGACCTGTATGGCCTCAGTTTGGGTCCCTCTCTACGATGGGATGCACTAGAATTACTGACATCGGAATCCCCGGGGGACATTCCACTCCCAGGACTGCTGTCTGTAAATAGATTATACTAAATATAGAAACAAACACTGAATTGTCTATTCCTCATAAAAACTGTATAATGGAAATTTTTAGCGATCATTTAATTTTGGCATTTTTTAGCAATGGTCTTGGTAATGCTGAAAATAGATATTGCTAATAATTCAATTACGTATATTTTCAAAGTAAATGAATAGAATTTCCCCTTTAAAAACTAAAAATTAATTATGCTAAAAATAAATGTTAACTTTTAAGATCAAATCGCTAAATTTGCCTTTTGCTAAAATAACCCATTAATTGGTTTTCATCTAAACTTGATTACAAATATTTTTTTTTTTATTTTCAACAAAGGTTAATAAAAAGGTCTGTTTATTAATTAATCTGTACCAATTCCACAGAAAGAAATTACAGGGAGTTGCCCTGATGATACGTGATTTAAGCAACATATTATTCATATTATTCTAGTTCTGTTGTACTAAAACATTTAAAAAAAAAGATCTCTTCTGCATCATGATAATAAGTTACTTTGATGTTAAAACACATTAGGATAATGAAATTTCTGTTAACCAATTCTTATTACTATGTCATTAGCATAGCCTGGATCTATAATTAATTACAATTAATTTAAATTTGTGTAGGAGTGGTCTACTGTTAGTGACCTGCATATCTCACGTGTGAATGCCAGTGAATACAAACGAATTAATGACCAAGAAAACATTAAAATCGGTGAAGCTATGGGTAACCATAGTAACCTCAAACAGTTTCTATGAAGCTGTCTAGTTAACTTCCTGTTTCTTCAGAACCTATTGCAGACAGATCAAGTATTTCTTAAGCATAAATCAAATACAAATAAAATAAAAATAAAGAGGAAAAACAAAGAAGAAAAACAAAAATAAACCAAAAAACAAAGCAAAACTCATATTAATTTATGAAACTTTTAAATAGCTAAATTGAAATTGTACTTTATAATGTAAATTACAAATAAATTGATAAAATTTGCAATTTGCTGTAATTTAAGAAGTCGTACAATCTCATCTCACTCATAAACCTGTTACAAAAAATGACAGATCATTATGATTAGGATGAAACCTAATTAGAACCTAATTATAATGTAATTGAAATGCTGCCGTTTTGCGTCTCTAATTTCTGTTGACATCTGTGTGTACTTGCTCGTAGCCAGTGGAAACTTATATAAAACGACACAAGGTGAATGTCTCTCTGTTCTAGAAATTTCTACTACAGTAACTGGCTTCTAGAAAATTCCATACATGTTCAGGTGACTTTTTCCCCCAGGTAATTATCATTTATTAATTTTTTTTCCCTCTAATCTGGAGCTGTGTTTATGAGGTAAATGATGTTCTCAATTGCAATATTTTTTTTATTAGAATTAAAACTTGAAATTTGCTACATTCCATTGTTATTTGGAATGTCTCTGACCTTTGACCTGTGTGACTCATTAACATTGATTATGTTAAAACATAAGCACTCATGTAAATCAACGTAACTCTATTGTTGACATTTTTGCACTAGCCCTGTAATTAGTGTTAACAACACATTTTAAAAGTTCAATCTGTCACAGTTCAAGCGAACTGAACTGTTACACGACGACTCCACAGCCATTAAAGGATAATTCTCCCTCCTGAATATTCATGTTTAGGGTAATTAACATTTATTACCTTGCTGTTGACTTGCAATAAATTTAGGGCAGTATTTATTACTAAATTTAATTCTAAGTCTTAATTATTTTACTCAGAAATTACTACTCAAAATTAGAACCTTGTATACATGTATTACTTCATTCAAAACAATCTTATAAACTGACCATTTCATTTGTGGTCAAGAGTAGATCAGGATTTTAAAATTTTAATTTTTCAATACCTATCTTTAGAAAACTATGTACTAAACTCGTTCTGTTGATATCTTATGTTCTTAAGTGTCACTCATTCCTCAAAAAGTTAGAAAATTTGCCAAAATTTGGTCAAATGTCAGACATTGACTTTAAATCTTCACTTACCTCAGTTTATGTACATTACTTAACTTTTATGGCACTATGATGTAATAAAGGTATGACATCACAAACGTTACCATGACATCATGTTGAAATTATGTCTTTAGTTTCCAAATAAGCCACTTTAGATACAGATGTGTTTTTTAACATTAGTCACATCCTTAACATTGTTAGTAAGCATTTTATGAATGGGATTCATGAGTTGACAGACAGAGAGACACTGAATAGCTGTTATGTTAAAACTCTTCCCTCTTATAGAAACTGACTGGTATTGCAACATAATTTAATTTCTTTTAGTCAGCATAAGTGAACTATTTATGTGTAGAGTGTTTGATATGTTTTCTCTTAACTTTATCAACTTAGATATGCACTTTAATATGTGAGTGAAAATGTCTTGGGTATTTATTATTAGTTTATTATTAGTTCATGCTCAACTAATAATAGACAATATTTGAAGAAGAAAATCAAAATGAACAAAATGAAATCTTTAACTGTTATTGAATAATGTATATTTTCTATCATTGTAGAATGTTATGTTTCATGAAGACAGTCAGTGCTGGGATAGAAAACCCAAAGAAATATTTTGTATAAAGCTGAGTGTATAACTCATAACTAATAAATGTATTGTTCATTTTGAATTGAGTCTTTTCAATTATGGTTCTGAAAAGAAATGTTTTACTGGTATTTACGAATGAACAGTGAACGAGAAAATAAGGATATTTACCGGTAATTCTTAAGTACTCAAGTTCTACATATGAACACTGGACTACAGGCCTCTAAAATTTAGGCACCAGCTGGCGCCTTATCAAGAAAATTTAGTCGCCATTGCAAATTTTTAGTTGCCAGGCAATTTTTCTAAGATGCCAACTTTAAAGGTTAATATAATATACGGACCCACGACGTGCCTAAGAAAACATGACATGTCCATTGTTAAAAATAATTTTCTCTTCTTTAAAAATTCTTTTCGCTTTTTCAGAAAAATTATCATAAATGTGAAAATTTCCGGAATTCGACGATCAACAAGTCAATTTAAAATGGTCGCCAATTTAGCAACTTTGGGAAAATTTCTAGGCGCCAATCAAAAATTTTAGGCGCCATGGCGATTAATTAGTCGCCAATTAGGATTATCTACATTATATATGCAATATTTACTGAACAGATCTCCAGGAAGAAAACTAGACAGACGGTAGTTTGATTAATTCATATCAAATAACACAGTGACAAATAAATCAACAAACATAAACAAAATACCTCTCAACTTAGGTTTGTATGGCTTTCTTCTACCAACTAAGAAAATATTTTATACCAAATTTTATATATGTAGGTACATGGACTAAAATTCCCAAATATATCAATTCAGCATTTTTTAATGGAATTTAGAAAAAAAAAAAAAAAACTTTTTTTGTATGAGGAGGGTATTTATAGGCAATTACTGTTGCCCAATCCATTCAGATTTATCTGAATAAATATTGTTTAAAATTTAAAAAAAAAAAAAAACATAGTTAGCAGAAAATCTTAATGGACCAATTTCCATCAACATTAAGAATATTCCAACAATTTAAAAATTAAATACAGTACAACAACTGAGATTTTTTAAGGAATTTCAGATTTCTTTACATCGAGTGAAAAGAATGGTACTTTCAATAAAACTGTATTTAAAAGATAAAGATCCAATATGAATGCAGAATCTGCTGGTGTGTACTTCAAGTCTGATGATGTGTGTTAGTACTTACCTGGGGGTGTACCATCAGAGTGACCCTCCACTCTCTGGCCTGAAGAGGATATGTTCTTGGGTCTGGCTCCTCCTGTGCTACTTAAAGAGTCATAAGGTCAAAATAAGTAACATTAAATACATACTCTTAGGGATAACTTAAAATACTAAATCTATGAATTAATTTAAGGGGAAGAAGGACCTTTAGCTGAAAAAATATCCATCATTCAATTTTGTTTATATTTTGTATATTTCTTATTAAGTATGTCCCACATATCTTAAAGCAGTTATATCATTAGGTTTCTTACCTTATTTTAGAGATATTGATTGACAAATGTTATGCCCTACAGTATCTAAGTGGAGTTTTAATTCTCCATATTTCCGGACTCATTACTCTGTCCATAATTGGATTTTTAAAGCATATATAAAAAATATGTAAGTGAACATGTATCTTTTAAAATATTTCAGAGTATGAATTGGGTTTAAAATTCGAAAAGGCAAGTTTCATCTATCACACTGCATCTGGATAGGGAAAATTACGAACTTTTTAAGACAACTTAAACAACAAAAAACGTAATTTACAAAAAAATCCTATCATTCAATATTTTTAAATTTACGTTGAAATGCAAGTCCTTCAAATTATTTATTATCTGTAAAAATTTCGAATGGTGAAACTGACCTCAATATTGCACAGGACATCGTTAAAGACGACATAAGGAGGACAAAAACTTGTCATGTTTACATTTCTCGAGTACGGGAAAAACCAACTATGACGTCACACGTAAGCTAAATAAGCGAAATAAGATATACCTACATAAGATTTCCGTCATCAGCCATGCAAAAATAATTTTTGTGTTCCCCGTTTCTCAAAATACTTCATCATATACAGATTATGACCTGTTTTTACATAATAATACCACCCTTGTATTCACCGAGTATGATCTTGCTGTACTAGCAGATCGTGTATGACGTCACCGACTTGTTGGACGCGCAGTTTAAAGAAACAGAGGAGTGGATCAATCTTTTTTCATAATCTGTTAATGTTTACAAGAATGTTAAACTTTTTATTTTTTTAATATAAGATGGTAATTAAAGAAAAAAATTGTCAAAAATTTATAAAAGAACTGATGCTTTACACGTTTTGCACTTATATAAATGGAGACTATGACGTAGTTTAACAAAGTCATGTGACCATGTGTCCTTCATCCCCTTAAAATCAACTTAATTTTTTTTTTCTAATTTAACTTTTTCTAGCTTCATCATAGTCAAGAGTTTGTCTCACCTTGATGAGGTCAGGGGTCGTGACATGTCTCTTTGAAGGTCACTCTCTGGTAGGATAGACTTACTATCTTCAGATTTACTTCTGCTATGTCCTTCCCTTATTGAAAGAAAAAGAATGTTTAAAAACCCACTTAACAGTACATACACATCAGAATAATTCCTGAATTAGGAATTAAATGCTGATCATCAAAATTATATAAATCTAAATCAATCTTATTTCTTTCCATAATTCACCGAAGTCCTGTTTCATCTTTTCAAATTAGTGACATTGTATGAACAATATTCAGATAAGATTATTTCATAATTATACATTAAGTAAATTTAGGGTGTTGGTATTTCTTTCCTTATCTATTTTATATTAAGAAAATAATCAAGTTAACATTATATATTGATTTGGTAATCGATACATAAATCCTAGGCATATCTGCCAGGCCTACATGATGTTTACATGTGTAAGGAAACAGCTGGTCTTCATTTATATAACAAGAGCCCAAAAATAGTATATACTGTTGGCTAACTGGTCAAATCTACCATGTTTGCTGTCAACAAATTTCAGGGACCCATATTCTGTCTAGCATTTTACTATGACAGAAGTTGAATTTTAATTCTTTTGAAATTAAAATATGAGAAGCTGACCAGCAAAATTTGAATTTTACAAACACGCCTGTTACCTGCTTCCCCGCCCCTCTGGGGAGAGCTCTCTAGGATCACTATAGCGGCGCGGCCTTAACTCTACAGGGGTCGTATCCAAAGAGTTAAGGAAAAATCTCTCACTGTAAAGTGAAGTGCATGCAGCCATGTTAGCAGTAGACGATGTGACACCAGATCATGCACCAAACAAACAATAGTGATATATATGTGTATGAGCTATAGATCAGTTTGTCCTAAAATTGCAACAATTTCTAAAAGGCAACCAACAGTAAAAGATAAGCAAATTAAATCTTTGAAAAATTCAATATCCTAAAGATTCATTTTCCATTCAAATTATGCCATGAAACTTTCCAAAAATGCTGAACTCCCCCTTCAAAATTGTCAAACATATTTAAAATCATGTACAATTTTATTTTTAAATATAAAGTGCTTAAGACTGATATAAAGCTCACAACTAGTAGCAAACAACAAACTGGCAACTAAATTCTTATCCTCCTGTTTTTTTTTAATTAACAAACATTTCAAAGTGTTGAATTTACAGTTATGACTTTATTATCTGAAATAAATATAGAATTTTATTGTAATATATGATAAATATGTTTGCATTCAATACTTTTTTAAGTTTAACAGGTAAAGTAAGAAATATGTAAGCATCTAATGATTCCCCAGCCAGTAATTATCATGCAGTGATTCTGACATAAAAAGCAAGCAACATATAATGTTTACTTGTCTTTTAACTTACTTTGACAATGGATCAATTTCCCTTCTGTTCCTATCAGCACGGGGTTCTCTCCCTTGACCTGTCTCTGATTGTCTCCCTTGCTTATCCTTGGGTGGCCATGCCTCTTTTGATGCTCCTTTCTGCTCTGTGCCATACACAGTATAACATTCCACAACATTCCTGTAAGGTGTTCGCAGCTCAATGCTGTGATTAAATGTTTGGTCAGACATTTTCTGTAGCTGTGATGAAAGGAATGTCTTTGCATTTCCAAGGGCACTGAAAGGCAGGCCAGTCCTAAATGACATCTCTGAGAGTCCAGTCTTGTCAGGGTGACCATAGTCAAGGGAACTCATCTCAGACCACTCCAGTTGCTTTCTGATGTCTTTATCCTTTGGAGCAAAGCTGCTATCTGCGGAGGGTAGATTATATCCATCGTAACTAGAATCAAGTTTTGGAAGTTCGGCCATTTTTTGGATGAGTTTACCCTCCTCCTTTACAACTCTCTCCAATATCCCTGTGGCCTGTTTTTCTGGGTGTTCTGTGGTCAGGATTTGGAAAACTCTGTTAGCAAGTCCTGTTGTATCCTCCTCAAATTGAGGCTCCATTAAGGGTGGCCCACTCTTCTTTTGGTACTTCGCAATGATCTCTTCAACATCAGGTGCAACATTACCAATACGAATTTCATCGATCTCCACCTCTAGCTGATCTGAAACTACGTCTGATGTATCATCTTTCTCTGTGCTCTCGTCCTTGGTTTTCTGGCTGGATTTTCCTGACGACTCGTAGCTCCTTTCTTCTGAACCAGGACTAGCCTCCAGTGTTTCTGTATCTGATTTCATCGTTTGCAGAAATCTCTCACTGTCTTCATACCCCAGGTCTGCTCCATGGTCCCACAGAAGCTTCTTACCACCACTCCGTGCACTCTCAGCCTCCGAGACAAAAGACTTTTCACTAATTTTGAGGCTATCTCCGAGTGTTTCTTTTTCTCCTGTCACATCCAGAGAGTTGTCCTGATTGAGATGAACAGGCAGACTGTTCTGTATCTCCTGTAAATCCTTCTGTAAACGTGAGTAATCCAGGGTTGAGGGGTCTACCTTTCTTGGAACCTGCTTCTTCTCCACGTAAGATGTTCTCTGTAAAATCTCCTTTACTTTATGGTCCAGTGAATCTTCCGACTTCTGGCTGTCCTCAGATTCATGCCTGGCATGCCCATTTGCTGCAGTTTTCCTTTTTCTACTGTCAGGTTCAATGTCAGCCTGAGTTTCCTGAGGAATTGGTATAAATGTCTTACTGCTTGGTTCACTGGCAGCAGACACATCTTCATTGCGTTTATTACCAGGAATGTTTTCTGTACGAGCAAGAAGCTTGGCAACTTCTTCCCCTAGTGATGACCTCAGGCTTGCATCGGATGCCATTGATTTGGCTGACTTTGTCAAATCTTCCTGAGTTGAATTTCCCATTGTGGGGCTCGGAGTAGACAGCCCTGGATACTGAGATCGTACGGGAGAGAACTTGTACTTTGGGAAGTCTTCCCTGTCATTCATTCCTAACGCTTCCTTGCTATACAGACTCTGATGAAGAGAAGAACCCAGTTCATTAGCGCTGTTCAACAGTTTTGCTACTCTCTGAGACAAAGCATCTTCCTCCAAACCTTGAGAAATATCCAGCTGTTCTGTGGATCTACCTCCCTGGGACTTTGTCTGGAGATCCGACTTTTCCATGGGAGGATCAAAAGTTTGTGGTTTGCTTAGTAACTTACTTCTTTCATCCACAGGTAGATATCCTTCAGAATCTGTAAGTTTGAAATCTGACCCACCTCTTGATACTGTTGCCCTTACTGGGTCACGAGAGGTTGTTCTCTTTGCATATAAACATTCATCAGATCGGCCTCCAAGTGGCTCTGGTCTCTGGTGATCGTATTTCTGAGTAACTTGAGAATCTGACTTTGAAGCCTTGTAGCTGCTAGGTATAAACGGATTAGATGTTAACTTGTAAGAGTCAGAGTTACTAGACCCTACAGAGGCTCTCACAGTTGAATCACTCTCTGATGCTGAAATCTTCCCTTGAGAACTTGTGGACTTGACTTCTGTGGAGTAGAGCACATATGATGCAGATGGCTGGCGATAATTGACATCCTCCTCTTTCAATGACGACTTCACACTCCCATTTCCTGAATCTGAAGACTTAGCACTGGGGCTCGGTGGTGAGTTTCTCTTTGTGGAAGAATTGTTTCTTGATAGTTGTTGAGCATAAATTTCTTCAAGTCTGTCTTCTTTAGCCATAAAGTCAATGTCTTTCAATGGAGCAGTAGTGGTAATTGTTGTGGTAGCTGTAATTGCTTCACTAACGTTAGATCGTGGTGTGTGGTTGGTATCTGATTCTGTGGCATATGGATTCCATTCACAGTCTGACATTCCAGTGGCAGATTCTGGATACCGCGCATACACGGCCCCAGACAGATGCCCCTGATTATCCCCGTCTGACAAACTGTCACTTTCTGCTGAGGCCCCTGGGTATTTAGAGGGGGAGAAGTTACCAGAGATGAAGTCCTTTGAGACCTCTGAGATAGCTGATGTTAAAAACTCCTCTTGGACACTGTTCTGAGGTGAATCTTCTTCTGAGTGATCCCCGCCAATAGCATACTGAGATAGACTAAGGTTACCTAAAAATCAAAACACAATCAGAGTGATTCCCCCGCCAATAGCATACTGTGATAGACTAAGGTTACCTAAAAATCAAAACACAATCAGAGAGATCCCCACCAATAGCATACTGAGATAGACTAAGGTTACCTAAAAATCAAAACACAATCAGAGTGATCCCCACCAATAGCATACTGAGATAGACTAAGGTTACCTATAAATCAAAACACAATCAGAGTGATCCCCACCAATAGCATACCGAGATAGACTAAGGTTACCTATAAATCAAAACACAATCAGAGTGATCCCCGCCAATAGCATACTGTGATAGACTAAAGTTACCTAAAAATCAAAACACAATCAGAGTGATCCCCACCAATAGCATACTGAGATAGACTAAAGTTACCTAAAAATCAAAACACAATCAGAGTGATTCTAACCAATAGCATACTGAGATAGACTAAGGTTACCTAAAAATCAAAACACAATCAGAGTGATCCCCGCCAATAGCATACTGAGATAGACTAAGGTTACCTAAAAATCAAAACACAATCAGAGTGATCCCCACCAATAGCATACTGAGATAGACTAAGGTTACCTATAAATCAAAACACTATCAGAGTGATCCCCACCAATAGCATACTGAGATAGACTAAAGTTACCTAAAAATCAAAACACAATCAGAGTGATCCCCACCAATAGCATACTGAGATAGACTAAGGTTACCTAAAAATCAAAACACAATCAGAGTGATCCCCACCAATAGCATACTGTGATAGACTAAGGTTACCTAAAAATCAAAACACAATCAGAGTGATCCCCACCAATAGCATACTGTGATAGACTAAGGTTACCTAAAAATCAAAACACAATCAGAGTGATTCCCCCGCCAATAGCATACTGAGATAGACTAAGGTTACCTAAAAATCAAAACACAACCAGACAGACAAGGAGCATGTACATACAATAAGGTGACTATGACAGGGTATTCACAATGTGAAGCAGGACTTCAATTAAATCACAGCTTTCCTAAATTAAGAATCCAGTACTGAGCATTTATAAACTTACAAATTAAAACTGAGGTAACCAGTAGTAAGAAATAACTTTTCCCCCACTCTTTTTTCCTGAGATTTGTAAGATTTATAGAGCACCAGTTTAAACATGCACATATTTGAACTAAAAAACAACAACCTTTTTTGTGTGTTGAAAAATAATATGCCAATTGAAATTATATAATTTATTTAAAAAGTTGTATGAATTTAAACTTACCATCAGAGTTCTCTGTTGTTTCCGACTTCCATCCAGATCCTTCATCAGAGGATAATCCGCGGAGTGGTGAAGCCCGACTGGAATCTCCGTTATGACTATCATTCGTGGATCCCGTCTGCAATACAATAATAATAAACTTATATTTCATAAACTATGACTGTGAGTAATTATTCGAAGATTTTATAAACATCTCCTATGTTTTCTGCATGCAGAGAGAGAGAGAATAACATTTGTATTCGATGCAATACAGTGACATATACATATATTTTCAAATCATGGTTAAATAAATATGTCTGACATTGTACATCTTACATGCAAAATGTTTAGTATGATTCAATCAAAACAAGCAAAACCAGAAGTCTCTGAAGAGACTGTAGCTCTACTGGTTTGTACTTAAAAATAGCACTTGGACTTTGCAACAGCAATACATAGAATAATGATCCTTGGTGAAGTCTCTTTTTGTTTTATTGAGATTTTTGTATTATTAAGATTTATTGCAATCAGACTAAATCTGTAGGAGGAGTAGTCTTTTAAAAGAATTTTACAGAAATTTCAATTTTAGTAACCATGACAACATCATTCAACAAAGTCAAAAAACAATAAAGACAATTTTGTATCATAATGTTGTCTACTTGTGTGCCAAGTTATACTGAAATCAGATCAAAACTTTAGGAGGAGTAGCATTTTGAAAGTATTTCAAGGAAATTTCTATTTTTAGTAAAAATGGCAACAACGTTAATCGAAATAAAAAACTGATAAATAGAATTATGTATCTTAGTATAGTCTACTTGTGTGCCAAGTTATACTGAAATCAGACCAAAACTGTAGGAGGAGTAGGGTTTTAAAAGAGCTTCACAGAAATTTCTATTTTTAGTAATCATGGCAACACCGTTCATTGAAATCAAAATCCACTACACAGATTTATGTATGATAGTCTAGTCTACTTGTGTGCCAAGTTGTAAGGAAATCAGATCAAAACTGTAGGAGAGGTAGCGTTTTGAAAGTATTTCAAGGAAATTTCTATTTTTAGTAACCATGGCAACACCGTTCACAGAAATAAAAAAATTATGTATCTTAGTGTAGTCTACTTGTGTGCTAAGTTATATTGAAATCAGACCAAAACTGTAAAAGGAGTAGCGTTTTGAAAGTACTTCTCAGAAATCTCTATTTTTAGTAACCATGGCAACACCGTTCATCGAAATCAAAAACCGATATACAGAATTATGTATCTTAGTGTAGTCTACTTGTGTGCCAAATAATATTGAAATCAGACTAAAACTATTGAGGAGTAGCATTTTGAAAAATTGTTTACAGACAGACAGACAGCTAGAGAGACAGACGGACGGACGACAGACACCTTACTATCGCATAAGCTCTTCTGGTCTCTGACCAGTAGAGCTAATTAAGAAGAAAGTTAACATCAGTAAAATTATATACATGTATCTCTAATTGTAATAATTCATTTCAATCTGGAGGTAAATGTTAACTTTCTTGAATGACATTATAAAATTGCTATTGCTAAAAATAATTCTCACTAGTAAGAGTATATCTCATGTATATATGTTGATTTTTCAAGCAAATCACTAAATTTGTATCTCGCTAAAATTCTACTAATACAGTATATAAAATGTTTTAACATTAACTTCCATTTCTACATATACAAATTGATAAATGGGTTTACTCTATTAAATATCTAAATCATTAATACATAAATCATCTGTTGCTGGAATACTGTATGTGTAAATAAATTGACGTATTCAAAATTTAGCGCATTTACTGAGTATTCATTAGTTGGCGTATATAATCATAAATTAGTGCTACACACATCCTCACCATTTATTTTATCTATTCATGATTTATTAACTGTATTTATGAATTAGAGCATTGTTATCCGCGCCAAAGCCGCTATAATATGAAGCCCGCTTTTTTAAGTACACATACAGTATCTGATTTTCTCAGAAAACATTTCAATGCCTTGTATAAAATAATTATTTAAAACATTGAAGTTCAGGTTACAAACTTACATGATTCATTGCCCCAGAATCTATGGATGACCTCCCATTGTTTTCCATATTGTTTATTTTATATTTCACACTGGCCTCACTGGCATGACGAGTATCTTTATATTCTGCAGCTTCCAATCTCTCTACACTAGGATAATTAGAGCTAATTGTGTCTTCTAAAGAAATCTGTGACAAAGATGCCGATTCTAATTCTATAGACACCTGTGAAAGCCGATCAGAATATGCAGATAATGAACTCCTGGCTGATAGATTAAATGTGTGAATGGTGTGGGTATTTTCCTGATGGTTCAGATTTAGCCGAGGGACAGGTCCTGGGTTAAGGGACTGGCAGTAATTCAGTCTGTTAATTTCTCTTGATCTGATGGTCTGCTGGGATAAACTGGACACGGAGAACTGACCCTCTAATGACCTGGTGGGGAACCCTTCACAGTTGTCCTCTATCCCAGGATCAATAGGAAGTGAAAACCAGACCTACATGAAACAACACATACAATATCAACATGATCAAAATGAACCATGTGAAAAAGTAAAATATATACTCAAAACAAGAGATTAGAGTTTGCTAAAGATAATAGATTACATTATCAATTAATTGTTGGACATAGTTTTAAGCCTGTTTTAAAATATTCTCCAATTACAAATCATTTCAAATATTATTATGATTATCCTAGAAACTTGACTGTATAATGAATGAAAATGTCTAGTTTTCAGAATTATATAAAAAGTTTCATATTTGACCTTTTCTGTTTCATTGTCATAGTTCATGAAATAGATGTTTAGTCAGTATGCATTATTTATATTAAATAAAAGTAGTTCAGAAATGACAACAACATTTAATGCACATGTAATTACATGTTATTGCAATCATCCTCTGCTTGCACAACTGTTCTTGTTTAATAATTTCACAAAAAAATTACTTCGCCTTATTCCCAAGACATGCAACTTATTTCTAGGCGTATGTAAAAATATAATAGCTTAATTATGCCTTCCAGTTGCCTGACTAACCTAAAATCTGAGTGTCGTATCCACCATTGACATATGAAGTGTATAGTATTGACAGCGGGCAAGAACTTGAACAAGTTTCAACAAGTAAACACGATCGATTTTGATTGGAGAAAAATGGAAAAGTTTCATGTTTTGTTAAAAATGCCATGCTTGGATGTTCTTATGTGTTAAAGTATAAAACAATATATATACACCTGTTTGTTTGTCATAATGATTCATTATTTTTTCCACCGACTGTCTCTTTGTTTTGAAAATAGGCCGCCATATTTCATCTCGCGTGATTTTCTCCCTAGCGAGATTATCTTGAAATGAGGGATCTTATCAAAACTTGATATTTTGATAATAAAGAGCAAATGGAATTTTTCATTAAAAAAATACGAAAAACGGATCCATACGAAGAAGGCCCTTATATACATGATAAATATAGGTGGCAGAGTTGCATAATTCAGTTTTGTAAGCCCCCGTAATCGAAGATTTGGGGGGCTTAATGTTTTTGCCCTGTCCGTCTGTCTGTCTAGCTTTTTGTCTGCAAAAACTTTAGGGCCTAACCTTACCCATAACTTAAGATTGGTTAGAGCTATGGATTTAATGTTTCACATGTGTATTCCTTGTGACAAATCCTTCTTTTGGGTACCAACATATTTGACCTCTTGACCTTGGAATTTGACCCACTTTGGCAAAAATTTATCCACCTTTAACCTTGGCCATAACTTTTGAACAGTTGGTGCTTGGACTTTCATATTTTTTATGTGTATTTATCGTGACAAGACTTTTCCATTGGTTTAAATATTTTTGACCTTGACCTTAGAGTTTGACCCACTTTTTTAAAAAACTTTAACCTTGGCTATAACTTTTGAACAGTTAGTACTAGAACTTAACTTCACAGGCATATTCATTCTGACAAGACCTTCTTTTGAATACCAACAATTTTGACCTTTTGAATTTGACCTTGGAGTTTGACCTACTTTTGAAAAAAATTTTAACCTTAGCTGTAATTTTTGAACAGTCGGTGGCAGGGCTTTAATATTTTGCATGTGTATTTCTTATGACAAGGTCTTCCCTTGCGTACCATTGATTTTGACCCTTTGATCTTGACCTTGGAGTCCGACCCACTTTTAAAAAATATTAACCTTGACCATAACTTTTGAATGGTTGGTCTTTTCTTTGGGTAACGACATTTTGATCTCTTGACCTTGACCCGGATTCTGACTTGCACTTATGAAACTTTAACCTTCGCCTTAAGCAGCCAAAGGGGGCAGCAGTGTTTCACAAACACATCTTGTTAATATTAAATCTAGAAGGGAAAAAAAGATTTTAGCCGGGGAGGGGGGTGGGCCTCTCTACTTTAAAAAAAAATGCTGGACCCGGCTTTTACATATTATTATTATTTTTTTTTTTTGCCGATTAAGACACTAAAGATGGTCATCCGATTGCACAGTAAAGTTGTGTAAGTGTAAAATACTGAAATAAATCGTGATCAAAAGAAAATAAAAGATTTTTTTTTAAAGAAGAAAAATGAATAATTAGGACTATTATTAATTTTATAACTTTTCTTTCAATTTTCATTCCATCATATTTTATTTTAGTATTTAAACTCAACTTTAGACCCCTACAATTTAAAAGAAAACTTCATACATGTACTTTGATTAACTTGCCCTTCTTGTTCGACTTTCAAAACATTTTATCTATCAAATTAATGTCTTGTAATTCTATAAAAGAGGAAAGGTCATTAATCGAGAAAGGGTAATAAATACGGTATGCTAATCCAGAGAAAAAGATGGCCAGTGAACACGTGAAGTAAAATAGTGAGATTTCTGACATTTGACAAATGTGTATTTAAAAAAAAAACTGCATTACAAATACTCGGGATAAAATTCTGCATGGAATCTGAAACCACAGACAGCCGAAAATGACACCCCACCCCTTTAATCATACCAATCCCCCTCTTTCATGCATCATCCACTCTATGTCTCTCAAGAGAGGTGGCGAAATTTTCAAATTATTATGCTGCTATTCTTACAAATGGTTTTCTACCTACATGTACTTAATATTTTTAACCCAGTTTCAGATTATTGTGAATATGTTATCTTGAATTTTCACGAGTATCTTTTGGTATTGCACACTTTTCATTTGTACCTCCATGGTAGATATGATTTATATTCTTTCATATTACAATATTTTAATGTTATTAAATATAATCATGCTGAAATAATTGTATATGCCCCCTGAGGGCCCTTGATTGGTGAATAAATAAATATGTAATATAATTAAAATCCCATTTCTTTGGACATATTTACACATTAGAAGTAGTTTGAAGTTAGGTCTACTTTTTTTTTGCTGACGAGGATAATTAACAGGGCCCTAGTATATGTGCTGACTTGAGCACATACTTTTGCTGACTTGAACACACACAGGGACCTAGTTTGAGTTTTGTTGACTCACAAGGCACACACATATAGGACCCTAGTATGAATCTTCTTGTTTTGCCAACATGATCACACACAGGGAGCAATTTGAGTTTGTCTACTTGTTTTTGCTGACTTGAGCACACAGACGCTATAGTTTGAGTTTAGACTTATAATTGTTTTGGTGACTTTAAATAGCACAGTGCCACACACCATCACACACTCTGATTATAGTATTTTGCTTAAAAAATTTTTTTTTGGTTTGTCAGATTTTTTGGGGAACTTGTCCCCTCCCCACTTTTGAAACCGTTGCTACGGGCCTGCCCTATGAACACACACAGGGACCCCTAGTTAGCTCACCTGAGCCGAAGGTTCAAGTGAGCATTGTCCGTTTTCTGTCGTCATCGTTGTAAACTTTTACATTTTCATCTTTTTCGTCAGAACCACTGGGTCAATTTCAACCAAACTTGGCACAGAGTATCCTTGTGTAAAGGGTATTGAGGTTTGTTGAAATGAAGGGCCACATCCTCTTCTAAGAGGAGATAATTAAGATATACAGTAGTGAAAATTGGGTGGGGTCATTTAAAAAATCTTCTGAAGAAGAATCACTATGACAGAAAAGATGAAACTTACGTGAAAGCTTTTTGGGGTAGTGTAGATTCAAGTTTGTTTAAATCATGACCCCCAGGGGCAGGGTGGGGCCACTATGAGTATTAAAAGTTTTACATAGGGATACATAGGACAAATCTTTAAAATTCTTGTTTTTAAGAACAACAGAGTCTTCCTTAGTCATATTTATATGGAAGCATCCTCAGGTAGAGTAGGATCACGTTTGCTCAAATCATGACCCCGGAGGGTAGTTGGAGCCACTATGGGCGATCAATGTTTTTCATAGGAATACATGGGGGAAAATCTTTACAATTCTTTTTTTCTAGAACAGCTAAGTCATGATTAGTCATATTTATATCGAAGCATATTCAGGTAGTGTAGATTCTTATTTGTTCAAATCATGACCCCAGGGATAGGGTTTGGACACAATGGCCAATTTTACATATTATATAGGAAAAATCTTTTACAGTCTTCCTATTCAGAAGAGCAAAGCCATGATTAGTCATATATATATAATCTAAATTTTTTTATAGAAACAGATTGCATACTAGTATTGAGAAAAAATTTGCTAGCTGATAGAGTTATTCAGGTAAGCGTTGTGGACCATGGGCCTCTTGTTTGAATTTAAGCCTACTAGTTTTGCTGAATTGAGCAAACACAAGGGACCCAGTTTGAGTTAAGGATTACTACTGACTTGAGCATACGTACAGGGATCCTAGATAACTGAGTATAGCTTATAGGCCTACATTTTAGCTATTTTGAGCATATACACAGGGATCCTAGTTTGAGTTTTAGCCAACTTGTTTTGCTGACTTGACAGGTACCCCTGGCAGGTTTCTTTTTTTCTGTCCTGGGAACGCACACAGGGACCTTAGTTTGTATTTAGACCTACTTTTGTGTGTGTGTGTGTGTGACCTGAGCACACACGCAGGGACCCTAGTTTGAGTTAGGCCTATTTGTTTTTTTGACCTGAACACAAGTTTGAGTTAAGGCTTACTAGCTTATTTGGCTGACCTGAGCATTGCACATCTATAGGAACCTATTGAATTTTTTGGTATGTTGAAAAGCTCACTTAGTTGCGCCTGTAGCACAATTATATGTTAATTGTGATGTATTACACGATGTATTATTCCCCAAGATACTAGTACTTTACAAAGTCTAATGTGATAATAAAATATTACCATCGTTTGAAAATCAATGTTAACCTTTCACTGACGCTAAAATATGCCATCAATGACCTCAGCTAATGAATCATAGAAAGTTTGATTCGTTTCCTAAGAGGCAATTTCCAAAAGGCTGCAGTTTAGTAAATGGTTCCATAACCTTGACCTTCGATACCTATTTCATGCCAACCATGGACCTTGTAATAAAATTATTACAACTTGATCAGTGATCACCAGAAAGCCAATATGGCTATGTTTTTGACCTTGCAGTATCCATGGTAATAAATAATACACATTGTATTGCCTAAGACAAGTTTGATTGTGTTATTTGTGCTAATGAGAGGTCATCCAACGAATATGAAAAGTTGACAGACTGTAAAACCTTTTTTTTTATCATGTGAGGATAAATGAAAAATATCTGAACTGATGGTTTTCACAAATTTTATTTTCAGATTAACATTTTTAATTAAAAGACACAAATTTTTACATTTGACCTGTGATTCAAGATATTGCCAACATTTTGAAAGCCCTATAGTAACCTCAGTACTGAAAACTCAAATCATGACAAAGTCTTGATAGCAAAAATGTGTGCGAAAAAAGTGATTTTAGTTTTGTCATCACAAATTACAGAATTATGTACATAGCTTAATTCTCATCTTCAGAGAGAAAAAAATTCCCACTCCAATCTTTGAGGTAGTCTTACGTCCTAAATTCTGCAGACTTAAATGTGGAACATGATCAAAACATACATAAATAATTGAGCACTATGAATGTAACATTCAGCATGCTTACGGACATGCGGCAAGTGAAAACCAACAAAAAATACTCCACAGTACAAAACTGGCACATAGTTTATAGACCTCCTCAACATTTCAAGCTTCTGAAAGACAGACATAAGTATACACTAGTTACATCACATACTGATACATGTAGTGTAGAAAGGATTGCATAGGTGTTACCGATTTAAATAATTCACTGGTTTCAAATCAATATTAAATTTTTTTGAAATTTCACTCAAATATGCAGGAAATCTTGGTCTTCATTGTGCATTTTTTTTCTGTTGAATTAAAAATAAAACAAGGAAAGAGCATCAAATACATTTATTGATTTCTTCAAGATCAGTGTTTTAATGCTCACCATCTTGGACTTGTTATATATAACATCATTTAAAGCTATGACCCACTGACACAAATAACTACAGTACAAGTCTATAGTGTCACACGATTCTCTATCCGCAGTTCAAATCAAAATTTGGAAACATTTAGCACTAAAAAAAACCTTGAAGCTGCACAAAAATCTTTTTATATAAAAAAAATCTATTTTGTAAAATGTAGTTTGCAAAAGAACTTTTACCAACATTTTCAAACATGTTACATGGCATTTAACTCTGTGAATGGATTTTTTCTAGTGAGACAACAGAAAACGTTTGAGCATTTACACACACAAGAAAAAACATTTAAACAGTGGCAATGAAATTTATATATATACAATAACATCCATAACATAATAATTCTTTACACCGTCAGTAACAAAACAACAAAATTGAGGAATAATTATATAACTGACATCTTATCACTAAATGCAACAATCGCCAACAGATCTCAACCAAAAAGAATCAGAGAAAATTCTCCTCTTTCTCTAATACAGTTCTCGTACAGCACTTTCTTGTGTATTTACAAATGGAATCGGACTAATTCACATCATCTAAAGCACTACTGTAATATTCACATGAAGCTATACTTCTACTCATAGTGTGAAAGCACGGCACTTGATTATGTACAAAAGCATCATAAACTATATACAGATTACAAAATTTTTCACTTTTTAATAAAGTATATTGCACAATTTCCTATTAAATATTGAATATGAACAAGATTTATCAAATCTACACTACTAATACACAACGTCATTAATGTGTACTATGCACTATAAAATATGGCATATTGGATATAAACCATGTAACAGCAGATAATATATTCATACACAGAAACAAAATATATACCAATGGTAAGAAACTTGTACAGGAAACATGGAGACCAAATATAAACAACAAATTAGTACATCTGTCAACTCTAATTAATGCAGAGGGTAGTTAAAAACACGGAACATAAAATCTTTCCAGAATTCATCAGTTGTTTGGAACAACTCTCATGTCTGGAGTTCACTAATGGAATAACACAACCTGATTCTGAATGCCGTGGGAGTCTCGTACATGGATTTCACGTGTGATCATTTTTCACGGAGAATTTCTTCGTGTAGAGGCCCCCTTTAGGGTCCCCCGCCTCGACTTTGGAAATTACACTGTTAACATAATCTGTGGTATTTCCAGCCACTTGAAGAGCTGAAATGAATTTAATTAAAATTTTGAAACATTTTTCATGGACACAATAAACTGTTTCAAAAGTATGTTTTCAAACTTTCCATTTAACTTCAAATTAATTTTTAAAAATCTTTGCATTTTGCTATAACAACTTTTCATCAATTTTTTTAAATTCTTTTTTAATAGACTTCTGCATATGTCATGAATATATGATGCTACTTACTTAATTTTTCTTTGATTAGACTTTCTAGACGAGTTGAGAATTTTAGTTGAGGACCTTTCTTGATGATGAAGTTGTGAAGATCTTCTTTAATTGTATCAATGACACCTAACAACTGTTTGTGTTCAATGTCAAGGCCGTGAAGCTTCACCTTGTTTGCCTCGTGCTGCGCCTTCTTCTTCAGTCGACACGCTCTGTAAAAGATAATATAAACACAAACTCAGATTTTATATCTATATATTTAAAACATGGGCCTGAAGGGGAAATAGCTGCTGTGAAAATTTGCCTCTGGGTTAGGGTTAGATATCATCTTTATTCTTGAACATATAAGGATTCAAAGTTTCTCCATTTTTTTTTCCTTCCCTTAAATGCAAACTATTTCATGGCGAGTCCTTACCTAGATGCCAGTTTATTTTTCTCCTTCTTAGACTTGTTTCGTGTGGAGACAGGAAGTTCACTGAGTGGAGCAAAGCTGTTGATTTGTTTGTTTAGCTTTTTGATCTGACATCCAATCTGAACAAGTTTCTTTGGATTGGGGGAGACGTCGTTTCCATCTCCTTTTCGAGCTTTCCCTCCATGACGAATGGTCGTTCCAAGCTGAGAAGCTGAAGATGAATCAAACACTGGATCTTCAAAATCCTGGACTTTGTGGGGGTTTTCATCCATACCAAATCTAACTCTTTTCCCCTTGGGACCCTTGGATTGGATGTTATATTGCCAGAAGAACTGGTCCTTTCTCACTTGCCGAGACTCGCGAGACGATCGTCCTGCAGTCCATTCCTCTTGACTTCCTTCCGAGTCTGAAATTAATCACAACGATCACATTTTATAACTGAAATTCTAACATTTAGAGTCCATCTAAATCAACTTAATCAAGATAGTCATTTAGTTACTAAACCATCTCCTCTTTAATGGTATCTCACTCCATTATTTACATTCATACTTAAATAACAGTCAGTGACATTTTAATTTGTTTTTTTTCCCAATACTTTTGTTTGTCCAGATGACAGAAAATAAAACAAACCGTAAGACTTCCCACTAACATAAACCTATTAAATATTTCTTCTAACTGACCTGAATCTGAGAAGTCATTAACATCCGAGTCGGAATCAGAATCGTCAAACGAAGGTGCTGACCCAACAGAATCTGTAAAAGGGGAAAAAACAAATGATAAATAAAACAGAAAACAAGTCATCTATTGATAAACAAATACTTCAGTTAAGACAACAAACAAATAAACAGCCACACTATTAATTTTGTTCTTTCCTTGTTTACTTCATCTTGTGTCTATTTACATCGCTGGGATTCTATTTTTACTCTTATTTACTTTGTTGACCCAGTTACAAAATTAAATTATGCTAAGTAACATTACGTTAAATATGCACAAATTTTGTCACATTTAAAACATGCGAGTTATCTTCAGCTCAAGCCCCGTTATATCTATTGGTTTGTAATTCAGAAAAAAAAATATGTTTGAAATTTTTCTTTTTACATTAAGCAGTGGCCTAATGTTTCAAAAAACGGGTATTTAGTGGGGAAAAAAATCTTCCTTTGATGAACTCCATTACAGAACATTCTAGATTAGAACATATTTGCTTTACAATTAATTTGCCTTAAGGGCAAATCTCCCAATGATTAATGAGTATATTTCTATCTCTGACAAGTTCAGACTGGTATAAATTTAATTTTCTATCCCAAAACAGCTGTAACAGTTGAAGTTAAATTAAAAAAATAAAAAAGAAGAGAGGAAAAAAGAGGGGAAATTATATTCTTTTTTTAAAGTCCTATAAAATCTATTATACTCAGATGAGGAATTTGATGACAATCTGAAAGTAGGTCAATCACGTGCAGGAAACAGACCTTTAATTCATTTACATAATGAATCGAAAATAATCTATAGAGTTCAGTCATGTTTATGCTTTAAAAAATCCGATTGAGAGGAGGAAGAAATCGATCTGACTTGTGACCTGTGTTTACTTCTACAAGGAGATCTCTTTAACTTGAATGCTATACACCTGATTTAATAACACGGTTCGCATGTACTGAAGGTGTTTGACCTTTGTGCATAACCTTTAGCTAGTGTCTACCAGCTGTTAGACTGGCACATAACAGAGAATACCTATATTGTGTTCGGGTCAGTCAAACTGTCGCACTCCTGTACTGCTGGGGTGCTTAACTAATCCATCATAAATATTGATAGTTTTACAATTTTCTAACAAATTACCAATATTCACAAATTAAAGTTTTCCCTGTTACATACATTTGTGGTCCATTTCTATTGAAACAAAACAATTTGAGCATTTCTTCTAAAAATAAATTGTTGAAAAGTGCCACATAGCAGAGAGCTCTAGTACGCCTGCACCAATGTAATGAATGATTGCTGACTCAACCAGCTACAGGCAGGTATAAGACTTGGGCTGCATTAATTTACATGATGCCAAACCACATGATGGTTATAAGGCTAATAAGGGAAGAAAAGTAAAATCAAACTAGACCTGAATAATAAATCCTGGTATTTTGGGGGAATTTTGCAGATTTTTCAAGAGAGACTACAAGGGAGTGGACCACAAGGGAGATTCATCATTCGCATTCTAAACATTCCATACCAAAGTATCACACTACATTTACTGTAATAATCATGTGCAAATTAATGAATCTCATTTTTTAACTTGTAAGAAATTAATCCATTAATAAATGACTGAGCTGCACCTTCTTATTGAATATTTTATCATACCACACCCTAATTTTAATACTCAAATCTGCCAGTATAATTATTCTCATATAATTGTAAAAAATGTCCTCTACCCAATATAAATAGGCATGGTTTTACGAACGATAAGCAATTTTATTAGAACTTTCTACCGACGTCACCTATACCAATAATGCCAGTATTATAAAAATCAATATGAATTTGTGGGATCTAGCTCTGAGCCGTCACACACGAATCCAGTTTTAATTACGTCACATTGCTAAATTAAGAAGTCACTACTAGGCTGTTGACACATTTCATCTACCCACCTACCGCATTTATTTTTTAATCTTGAAAAAATTCCACAGAGAAAGACGATCAAACTCAATCTCCACACGGATTTAACTTAGATATTGATGTAAAATGGTGTTAATTTATCACTTTCCTAAATCCTTTTTTAAATCTACGTGTTAGAAGTCAAGAAAACTGTACAACGTCCAAATGCATTATATTTACTTTAATGATAGCTTTATTTCCATTTTCTCACATTTCTTTTGAAGTTTTCTAGCACATGCACTCATTTAAGCTCTACCCTTTTCCATACCAAGTAACTATAGACCTTGACATTTTTCCAACCTATACAATTTGCACTGCAGGCCTCTTAACAGACCAAAACAATGAGGAAAGGTTGTTATACACTGCATATCATCTTGAACTCTTTACTGTTTTTCCCTATCTCCTTCAACCATAATTATGATGATATTTCATATTTCACAGTGTAAACACCACCTAGCAAGGGTCTATGGTTATTGAAAATTATGAAAAGGAAATGGAGTAAATTAATACAAAGCTTATAAAACTTGTTTCCAGATCCTAGCTTTCCAAGTTCCCACTGCTATATTTATAAATGTATGCTTTTTTCTGATAAAAATCAAATGTTATTTAAGATGGTATTTACCGAGACTCTGTCGTGTACACTTTGGCTGAGAGGGCACCTGCTTCTCCTCAGGGTAGAGCAGTTGTTTTATCTCCTCCCACTTCCTGTCTACAGAACTGGAAGACTCCTCCTCTGGAATTGAGGACCTTTTACGTTTTCCCGGACTCAGCTGAGGAGGAGTTGAAGTTGGAACTGTGTGTTCGGTGTTCGTCACGGCAACAGAGGGCAGTCTGACCGAGAGAAGCTGCTGTAGGGTCGTGCTCGGTGCAGTGGATTTCTGTGGTGGTTTGCTAGAGTATGACGATGCACTCGAATGTCTCACACGGGCCCCTTGAAGGGGCCTTTGCTGGTAATTTGGTAATTTGACATCACCAGACAACACTGCAGAATCTTTTTCCTGCGAGGGTAATGTGGCAGTCCATGTTTGAGACACTTCACTTGCAGAACTGTGGCGGCCACGGTCCCTTGAATTCTGTTTCGTCTCACTTCTAGTTCCCGAATTTTCCACATTAGAAAACGACTGCTGCGCAGCAGAGAGCAACAGATCCAGTTGTTGCATGCTTTCTTGAGAAATATAGTCTGTGATATTACTGATATCCATCATAGTATTTTCTTCAGAAGTTGACGTGTTAAGTTCGGCCAGGGTTGGCTCGAACACCTCTGTTTTGACTAGATCTGTATTACATGTCTGACTTTCGGAGTTATTTACCCATGTATTTTCAGAAAATGTTCCCGAAGTGGTGGTAACAGCTGAAGTTCCCACAGGCATGGTGATGTCCAGGGAGTTCTCGTACTGCGATTTCAGATCAAATTGCTCCTCGTTCAGAAGGCTAGTCATACTACCATTGCACGAGGTGTCATTAAAACTCTGCATGTCATTTTTCTCCTGTTCATAAATACACAGAGAATTAGGACTAGATGCAAAGATGGCAGAGTCAATATCCCCACTGACTCTATGGTCATATATGGGTCCATTCAAGTAATCACCACTCAAGAAATCCATATTTGATCTGGGCTACAATACAGCAAAATAAATATATATATAAACAATGCTGATAAACTGGCCAGGTCCAAAGTTCCAGAATATACTAGAAAATTCAAGCTATATTCCAATTCAAAATCGTAAACATAAACAATCGACAATTAACTACCTATCAAATATGCGACAACCTGTCAAATTTAATCATCTTATTCTTGTTTACTACCAAGGAGTTAGAAGTATGCAAACAAACAGCTACACGTAACAAGGACACGTTTTTTTTTAAATATTTTAATGGGCAAATATGGACAAAAATATTTACCCAAGCAAGCATTTTTGTCAGTGCCAATGTCATTTCATTTTCTTAATTACAGAAAAAACTTGTTTGCAGGTTTTAAAATTTTCTTCGAACAGTCAATTTCAAATGTTCTACTCTAGATTAGCTGTACTTATACCTTTGATAGCTTACAACAAAATTGTGATTACAGTTGCAACTTGCAAGTTTATTTATCTAAAGAATAACTAATTAACAAGGATAGTCTTTAAGCATTCTCATACACAATTCCTTGATTAAATTCTATTTCAGAGTAATCCATAACTGTGAAGCTATGACTTGAGGTCATTCACCTCCAAAGATAAGGGGTCGGATGAGGTCAATGACCCTGTGAACCTCCTGTTTGCTGGGCAATAGCCTAATGGCCCTGTTATTGACCAGGTGAATCGTTATTGACCAGGTGAATCGTGCATTTTCAAGTATTAAATAATCATTTTTTGAATTGAATTTTAATATTCACCCTGAATTTTTTTTTTAAATTGTACAATTTTGGCTTAATAATTATTCATTTGAATGTGTTTTATTCCTCTTCAACAGAACAAGTATACAGGTACTATGAAACCTATAACACTAAAGGGTCATAGTTGTTGTAACCTTTCTGCACTGACTTTCTACACCGTTTTGGCTACAGATCTTTTGGCTACAGATCGTGATATTATATGATAAACATATTGAGGCATTACCCTATCAACTTTGCTTCATACATGTTACCAGATAATCATTGAAGAATTACTGTGTCCTGATTTCATCAATGTTTTTAGTCTAATTTCATGAAATGACAAATTCCAGAATAGAAAACTATAAATATCTACACATAATATGCTAGATAAAGTTCATTCTTCAAGTCAGGTCATGTTTGTTTATTCTAACACAGCAATAAGTTCAGCGATTCAAAGCTAGACTGGTTCTTACCAACAAGAGAAATCATTAAAGTATGCAAAATATGCATTACAGGTATTCAATCATTAACCCCAAAAACAATAATTTATAAAGGTTCAATCATCATTCATTTTTTTGATGTTATAGTGGAAAATTTTTTGGAAACTTCATCAACACTGTAGCAATAGTTTTCGAGTGTGTGAATCACTGAACTTATTTATTTAATGAATTAAAAATGCATTCTACCTTAGATGTGCCCGTCTTTGCCCCTACTGTCATATGCTGTGACGTTATGTGTGTATGTTGTCTGGATAAGATAGGGCGCTGTATCCAAGGTGACTGACCTTGGCTGCTCTTATTAAGGGTCTGTTTGCTTCTTGCAGCAAGATGAGGTAGATTGGAATGTTTGGTCAAGCAATGTGCCTCTGTGCTGATTTTTGGAGTGATAAAAGCTGTGCTGTTTTGATGACTTGAATAAGCACTTGATTTGAGCAGTTTACTGTTGTGGGTATACTGTGGTAAACTTTGTAAAACAGATACACTACAACAAAAAATTTAAGAGATAAATGTAAAAATGGAATTTATTGCCAAAACTAAAAAAAAAAGATTAATGAAATAAATATATATGTGAATAACTATGCTTGCTATTTTGATAATTCCCAAGCTCCCCTCAAATATGATGTTGACAACAGGTCATAATAATTAAGAAATTTCTGCATAAATCTCAGAATTCCAGCCATACTTAGAGTATGTGAATATCTTTTAATGTGCATTTTTCTCTTCCCAATTTCCTTTCTCAAGGGGGAAAAATTTCCAAACAACGTCCAAATAGAAAAACAAAATTTCATCCACACACCAAAGTGTATCACCGGATATCAGATATGCAAGCATAAGACCACTGATTCACACAATGTCAAGTAGATTCAATCCTTCAAAAAAAAAAAATCTCCAGGAACAGAAACTGAAAAACACAACTTACGTGTTCTAATACCCGTTCAACATTGAAATTGGTAAATAACTCAATGGGCCTTATATATCGAGTAAACAGTCTAAAAATAGCACAGGGAATTTTCCAGAACATTACCCAATGAAAACCGGATAAAACTGGGTCAAATAGTAGTAAACAACAAATACAAGAAAAATGCAAGGTCGACAACAAAACAAAAAAAACAACTTGTTGGTTCCAAATACCACCTCAAATTTTAACCTTTGTCTAAAACTTCAGACAAGTGAAAATATTACACGGGCATAGCTAATACAACATCTAGAACGTTCTGTCAGTGTGTCCATACCACAAGCATTCGTCCTTCCGATTGGTTGACAATCACGTTCTTAGTCACGTTTGAGAAATAGACGGTCACGTTTTCCAGTGATCAACAAAATAAAACACTTGAATTACTTTTTAAAAACATTTTTAACTGAGCAATCCACCAAGACACCCAAATACAATTTTATTTTGAGCATTTCAATGAAAATGTAGGCATCTTCTTGTAAATTAATTTAGTTATTAAATTATATCATACTAAATTAACGATCATGAAGAAAAAATGACAATTGGTCACTAGTGTGACTAAGAAAAATATCCCATGCACTCATAATATAAATTACAGACTATCATTACATTTGACAAATGTTTGATTTAATATTGCAGTTAAAATTATCATCCCCCGTTCCAAATAATACTTTGCTGAATTTCTGCAAGATCAACAGGAAAAATGACAACCCCTGGCCCTAAACTCAAAGACTGAAAACAGACAAGTTAAAAGTAAAAAATTACATTTTGGATGTCTCTTATTATTTAATTCCATGAATATGCTATATCAATAAAATTGTACAATAGTGTTACACTCCCCCTTTCTTTTTTGAGTAGCATGCACTTCTACATAGCCTTTACCTGTTTTCAATCACGTGTACAACCTGAATAAACATATTTTCCTACTAGCTGTCTTGCAGTCCGTCATTCTACTTAACCTCTCTAGATATTTTCAGTATTCTCTGTATGTAATTTAATCCAGTTCTTGATCAACACTGGTTCTTCATTGTAAATTACCACTGATTTATAACCAGTATTGTTTTCATTAATAAAAATAAATGCCTACATCACATTTTATTTCATTAATTTTATTTTTTTTAAATGACAATCTCCCTTGCAATCACAGCTTTAATATTAAAGTAAGTTTGATAAGGAGGGTGTATTCCATAACCTCATTAGGTTTCAAAAGGTGCAACCAAAAAAAAAGTACATATACTTCAAGTTATATCTCATAGTACCTCAAAATATATTTATTTAAAAAAAAATGATATGAATGAATTTAGAAAGATAGCCATATATATATGGAATTCATATAATTCAATTCATAAAAAATAAAAATCAAACAACTTCATACATTCAATTTAAAAACAAAGTAAAGTTAATATTTTAAGTTTCCCAAATAATTAAAGCTTTAATTAAAAAAACAAAAATACACTCATTTCAATTTTACTCTTTTTTTTTTTTTAAATTAATTCTGTTCTCTTTTTTAAATAAAAAGGCTAGGTCATGCAGTAAAACAATAGGCAAATGCCGAAATGAAAACGTTCCTTGACGAAGTTTTTCAATTTAAATATTCTTGTAAAATCACGGAATTTGATTTAAAAGTTTACCCCTGGGAAGGCGGAAAAGAGTTCCAACGCTCCAAGTGGGATCGCCACGGCATGCGATGCACGTTTGTATGAGTAATTGTTGGAGCGGACCCCACAGTGGCGGAATAAGTTTCACACCCTCCATTTTTGTAAGCCATGCAAGTGACACCGACCGGTGAATTGGCAACCATGTCATTTATATTTTCTAAGTCCACTTTTTATATAACAATGTGTCGTTCCTCGACACTTATAAAATATCCGACTGTCCAATCAGTTACTTGCGCGCCCATCCTTATATCTCACACATCCACGAATGATCACAGTTACTATACACATAGTCGTCTTATAGTGTATTGTGGCTTTGACGTAGACTTGCTGGTCCTGTGACATCACCAAATGACAATTTACAATGCAGCAGGTATATAAACATACTCGCCTGCGGGTGGCAGAGAGTCGAGTCGATTAAGTCTCATTCGACGTAAACAACATAGGTCAGAGGTCACGCACTAATTATTGAAAATGTGGTAATGGAGAAAAATTGTTGATCAGCCTCATCATGCTCATTAAAATAATATCTTGCTATAAATACCAGGGACGCCATGCGGATAGTGTATCAAAAAGAAACATTTAACAATGAAAGATTTCATCATGTCCTGTTGCACAACACTCTGGCATGGCTCAGGAGGGTGTCCTAGTTCAGAAACAGACAATGAAAGAAAAACCTATACCTACCTACAAAAATGAATTCTGTCCACTCTTTATATCCTTTAAGAATGAAATAACACGATGACAAGTTTACACTATCGTTATATCACAATATTTTTCACGTTTCTCTCAGTGTTTACCCAAATTTTCTTCAACCATCATGGAGTTTGTTTTGATTTTACAGAAAGTACGGGAAACTAGTCAGTAAACTCGTGACTATGACGTAGAGAAGAACAAGGCCAATCAAATTTGAGAAATGTAAGCGAAGAGGAGGGGCCAATCTTTTAACATCTCAAAACCGAAATAGAATAATATTCAAAAAAATATATTTATTTTGTTACCTAAGCGTTCGTATAATGTATTACATGTCAAAGATATTTTGTGGTTTAATTTTGTAAATAGAAATTACAGTATATCTTTTTGTTTTTCTGTTTTTGATTTAATCAAGTTAATATTATTCTTGTGTTTTGATAAACACCCTAAATGATTGACGGTTCCAAATATACATGTGACGTCAAGAGTTATTATTTGGCGACCCGAATTGCCGCTAAATAACGTTCTAGAAGGAAATGGAAGCCTAAGCCAGCATTTATCGAACCGTACCACCAATCACGCGAAGCTGCATTTCAAATGCTTGTAAACAACTAAACAAACATATTTGCGAAGACTACACCCACATAATCTTTGAAGTGTTTTGACAATTTAATTACAACTGTCAACTTTAATTCATCCGAAGACCAATAACTCTGCATTGTCAGCAATAATTTAAATAAGTGCATGCCATTCGGGCAAATCACAGTTGTCCACACAAGTTATCAGCCACTCATATGCAGAATGATCTATAAATGACTTTTGAACAAGAAAATTCCCTTTACTTCGTGTCCAACTCCCAATTAATTTGAGCATGAAACTTTTTTATATAAATATATTTATTAGTCTTCAGATAAATATAGAATTAAGATTTAAAATAGCAATTTTTTTGAACCAGCCAATACTTTAGTTATTTCTTCTTTTTTTTTATTCAAAGGTGTTGGATTTTTTTTTTGACAAACATTTACATGTTATATTTGACTTGAGTTACATGACTGAAATCTTTGTGTGAATTTTTTAATGCTTCTTAAATAGAGAGTTGTCGCTCCTTTGCCTTGAATGCAAACAGCAGTAAAGACGGATCAAACTGTCTCCTAGACTAAAAAATGTACGAGATTTATACTGAATTAAATTTATGTTCCAATGGAGTTTGACTGGATTCCCCTCAGACTTTTTCATAATATGTATACTCAATTTGATTTTTCGAAGATCACCTCTTCTCGTGGACTTGGTGAGTTCAGTTCTAAATGGATAGATATACTTTCGACGCAGGCTTTGTGGCAACGCACTTTGAAAAAATTACACACTTTGAAAAAAAATTTCAAAGTGCGTTAAAATTGGGACAAAATCAACGCACTTTGAAATTTTTTTTCAAAGTGCGTTAAATTTTGGACAAAATCAACAATATTTTACGTAAAATAGATGAAAAAATTGAGATAAGCTTTCCTGAAAAAAAATCACGCACCCTATTATATTAGAGAGCCGCATAACCTATATTCAAAATGTATCCACAATGATTCCTCAGAAAAAATACATTTTCTTGGTAATTAAAACATGCTATTTGACTTGTCTATCGTTTTTATATCAAATTACAGATTTAGAAGTATTCTGACTGCATAACTTTTTTGAGAAAAAGTTATTAATGAACGAGGTAAAAATTTCAGTCGAGTGAGTAGTGTGGCTATAAAGGTTTATTTTCTTCCCGTCAAATAAATGAGTCAGCCATTGTTTCATAGATGTTCACAATAGATAGATAGATGAATATGATAGAAAAAATAGATGAGAGAGAGAGAATTTTCATGGTATGGAAAAATCATAATTGCTCCCTTTTCCTTAAGAAAAATACGATGCTTTAAGTCACTTATCGACAACTACATCTACCGAACTTATTAGAGACTGGATAAAATTTAAAAAAGGAAAAAAAAAAAGAAACGAAACAATCATTCCTCCATTATTTCTAAGACCCATTTCCCTTTTATAACCTTTGGAAACAAGACAACTCCTAAAAATCTTTAAAACGTCTATATCTCAGATCCTGACGTCATCATCGAAAAGTCTTTAAAACGTCTATATCTCAGATCCTGACGTCATCATCGAAAAGTTATACAACCAGGTTCAAATAAT